ATGACATTCTAGAACCTGGGAAAAGCAGTGTTTAATATTGACCATAATTTATGTTATAATTTACTGCATCGTCGGGTGAACAGTCAGGAAAATATATTTTAATTTTATACTACCTAAACATTTTCAGTAACATAGTATGTAACTTAAAATTCACCAAACGTCTGTGTCAAGTAAATAATTCATTTTCTATGATTTCAGGCAGAGCCGGGTGAGAAAGGATTCAAAGGTGAAAAAGGGACGTCCTACGATGAATCAGCTTTATTTAAAGGACAGAGGTTAGTACCTGTTTTCACTACAATGTACTGGACAAGGAGTGTTTTGGAACTTTAATTACTATTCAGTTATATGACATAGGTAACAGATTCCGAAGTGATTATATTAACTAATGAACATATTGTTTATTTGCCATTAAGTTCATTATAGATGAATCTGAAGTGATTCATTTTAGACGAACGAATAATGCAAACCAGTTACCCAGGATGAGAATTACAGAACTTGGTGAAAATATGTTACGAAATTTCTATGCTTTTAGCTTGTGAAATAGAAATATTCATGATGAGACGTCTAACATCTTTTGTTAAAAACTGGTGAAGTAATATTTTAGATAAACTTAACTACGAACGTTTTTTGTTTTATTTTTTGATGAAGAACTGGGGTTAAGGGTATAAAAGGGCTTCCTGGCCCACGCGGTGATCCAGGTGATGAAGGTCCTACAGGTCCACGAGTAAGTTTTCTAAACATACGTTCACACAAATATATATTCATTATTGTTTTGCTTTCAATGTATATTTTATGCATTTATATATTGAGCCTGGTAGACTTAACTGTCCGTGAACTTTTTGCCTTTTGTACTTCCTACTTTTAAAACTAGTGAATAGTAGTAAAATGGAAATGATTTACGACTCCATTTTAAGCTATACGGATGAAAAATGAAACAGGGGTTAGTTTTTTCAGTACTAAGTAATAAAAATAACTTTGCCATTTAGACAAACGAAACTGGGAAAAACATGCATTATTTTTAGAAAACTTCTAAAGAATTCCTTCAGTATAATATAATATTACGCACAAACGTTGAATTCCTTGGTTTAATCTTTGAAAGAGTGGTAGGTATGCACTCCTGAATTTCATTATGTGGAAGTTACTGGTTATATAATCAAACCAGCTCATAGTTTGATTTGTCTACTGATTAAACAATCTTTATAGGCTAATAATAGAAGCGTTTGCAGTAAGAACGGTGAGAACCTAAATGCTAAGCCAAAATATAATAATGAAGAAAATCATTACTACATAGTCACATTCACAAAATCCTGGTCAATTATTTTACTATGTACTGCTGACCAATATCTAATGAATAATCATATATTAAACAAATATAGACTTTAATGTTCAAGATAAAATATTCACTGTAAATGAATTTTATTTCTTTTCGTTAGGGCAGTCCAGGAATAAATGGCGTGCCCGGAACTCCAGGTCCCATTGGTGATGAAGGTACAATGGTAAGTGTTTTTTTCTTTTGAATAAGACAGATTTCAAGTTTTTTTTCCTCAGTTCATTCAAATTCTTATTAAAATAAGTCGTAAGCAACATTAAGTATCTGATACTAACTGGGTGTATGCACAAACAGTTACAAAGGTTAACTCAGCCAAGTTAAAGGATCAATGTACCAATAAGATTTGAAGATCAAATCCTATTGATAGTTCAACTTAAATTGGAAACTTCGGTTAGACCAAGTCAAACAGAAGGTTTGTTAAAGCATTTATTGTTATGGTTTATGGCTGCGTAACGTTTGGATTAGAACTGGAGAAATGTTATCTATTAGAGTATCCAAACAACTAAGCATCATGTTGATTGTGACAAACGTGCTGCAATTGCTAATCTATGGATAAAGATACATCTATAAACCCATACGATCCTATAGCTACACAATATGAGACGATAATAAGCTATATTGATTAAATTTGTACTCAATTATAGAAACTCGACAATGTCTACGTGTTTAGACGTAATTTGTAACAGTTTTTATAATCTACATTAATATAACTATTAAAACTTTTACGGATATTCCAGCATTTTAAAGTGTGATATAATTTACCATGTTAAAATTTGATTCATTTATCTTTTCGATTAATTATAAATAAAATACCATCCATATCAGATTAAACCAGGAAACAAACGAATAACACCTATAAAACACTAAATAACTTGAAATCTACTAAATAAACTATTGTAACTGCGAGAAACACTACATGTGATAAAATGGGTGCCCTATTGATCTTCGTCTGCCTGAACAAAAACTAGTTGCCAAACATCATAGTTTATCTTTGTTCGTGTCAATTGTGGACACACATTCGACTGGGAAAATGATGGGATTTTTGACAGAGTTAATATGAAGATCAGAGAGAGAGAGATTTTAGTAGTTTGGTATTCTGGTTAATCAACAAACAATAAACATGTCGAAATCTATTCAATTTATCAATTAATTAGAAAAGTCATGGACAAATAGAGAATCAAGAATCAGGTTAGAGAGAGGGATAGAGACAATCAAGATAAATATCCAGACAATGACAGAATAAAAATTAGCAATAACCAATTAGGATCAATGTTGACAGGCCAAGATGTGAATTACATGTAAGGAAATTCATATAACTCACTTCTACCTGAAGTTTGTGCTGATAATGTTGTTCACCAGAACATTGAAAACTTCACGGCCAAACCAACCGTCTGAGATAATGAAACTTCAACAAAAGCAAACGAAGAGCATTTATGAAACATTAGATGAGTGTCGAAATTTAATAAATTTTACCTTAGGTATTTATAAATAATCAATAATATTTGAAAATGATTCAGAATTTCTTATAATAATAATAATAATATATTCTGAAAATAATATTTACAGAATTCACACCAGTTTACAGGCATGATCAGATTGTTATAAAAATCAACATTTAATGTAGAGAACAAACATGAATTATAAGGTTTTATGTTTGCTGGTTTAGTAATTGATAAACAGTTTAAATATGGCATATATCACGGCAAGCCAATGCAACACCAGGGAACTTGTCATTTTTTTATTAAGTGGATAGCCTGATGATTGACCAACATTATTCTGTAAGGTTATTACCAGTGCCAGAGCGAGTTATTAATAATTATCTACAACTAGAGAAAGTAAGATTAAAGCAAAGAGCACGGAACAACAAAACAATGATAGCAAGTAAGAGGTTAAACATTTAAAGTTCCTATAATCTCACTTGTGGAGTAAGATACACTTGCAGGCGCTAGAGCATTTAATGCATTTTCAGAGGAGCAAAAAGCATTAATTGACCGAACAAACAATGGGAGAGAGTCTAACATACGGATAGTTTGGGGTAAATTATTCCATAGTCTAGAAAACTTACAGGTAAAGTAATTCATATAGAGAGAAGACCTAGAATATGTTTGTTTCGCTAAAGACAAGGAGTTACGAATGTCGTAATGTGAAGCCTTAGCATATTGAATCGCCTGACTGGATGTGAAGGAGAGTTTGTTAAGTATTTTGAAAAAGAAGATAAGGTTAAGTTTCAGTCTCCTCATCCATAAAGGGTCAAGCCCTAGTTTACTACACCTCGAATTATATGTCAAGACACTATCAGGTCCAAGAGTACGAAATGTAAATCGTCTCTGTACTGATTCCAGTCTTAACTTATCCTTTATGCGCGTGCTACTAAAGAGAAACGCGCAGTATTCGAGGAGTGGTCGAACACAGACTTTGTACATTAGAATACGGGATTCGCTGTTATGAAGGTTTCGAGTTATGAAACCTATAAGGCGATGAGACTTGGACGTTTGTTTCATTACCTGTTCAGTAAACGACAAGTCATCGGAGTACCTAAGTCCTAGATCTACTACTGTGTGTAACCTAGATAACATTTCCCCATTTATGGTAAGATTAAGGTTGAGTGATATATCACCGAAGCATAGCCAACCACATTTAGCTGTATTGAGCTCCAGCTGCCATTTTGAGCACCACTGTGCTACCTTGTTAAGCTCCATGCTGATGCAATTTCGAATATTGCTCAGCTCATGTGGAGAAAATGAGTACACCACCTTAAGATCGTCTGCAAACAAAAAGGACTTACCCACACTAAAACACTCACAAATATCATTAATGAAAACTAAAAAGAGCAAAGGACCTAAGACACTACCCTGAATTACCCCACTTCTAACAGGGACTGCGTTCGACAATGAAGAGTTGATTTTAACTATTTGATGTCGATTGCTGAGGAAGGAATCAAGCCAGGCTAGTAACGGGTTTTCGACCCCATAAGATGCGAGTTTACCTATGAGAAGTTGGTGGTTGACCATGTCGAAGGCCTTAGAAATGTCCAGGTATAGCACTAATACTAGATATCCTTGGCTACGAAGCGAATAGACTAAATTAAAGAAGTCAAAATGACATGTCATACAAGATCGATTTTTAAGAAATCCATGTTGCGAATCACCAATAAATTGTTCAGTCAATAAATAGTTGGATAGTTCGTCACTAATAATTTTTTCCATAATCCTAGAGATAACTGGAGTAATATTTATTGGCCGATAGTTGTTCATGTCAGTCTTATCTCCGGATTTGTAACGTGGTATGATGTACGCGGTTTTCCAACGGTCAGGATAACAGCCTGATTCCATAGAGAGGGTAAACAGTTTAAGGAGAAGTTGGATATCTGGACCACCATATTTGTAGAGAAATGATGAAATCCCGTCTGCACCGTGACCTTTCGAAACCTTGAGCTTATTTATAACCTTACTAATTTTCAGACATGTGAAGGAGATAGATTTAATGGAGTTACCAGTCAAGCATATAACTCTAGAAACAGAGCCATTTATGGATTCTTTGTCATTTGCAAAATTACCACTGAAAAGGTCTGCTATAGTTTTTGGGTCATATATAAAACTATTATTATGCAGGACGCATGGTATATCAACATTTTGAGTTGATTTAGCACGTTTATTATAAAGGTGGATTAGGTTTTGCACTTTTGAGCTAGTACGTAGTGCTAATAGCTCTTCATTGATGGCTGATTAGTGTTCACATTCACTCATTGCGAACTGGCATTAGCTAAATAACTAGTTTCGAGATACTTTCTGTGAAAATTCTAGTAGGAAATCAACAATCTTTAGGGCCATCTCAATTTTTACGGAGATGGGCAATCATCAACAGCATAAAACGAAGATAGTGCCTTTTAACAAACTGTGTTCAAAATGTGAACACTGGGTTCAGATTCCCTGGGGAAACTGGAGGTCATGACTTCGTACTTTTATGGAAGTGTAGATATATATTAGTGAGGAGTCCCAAATGTAGCAAGCATCAGTTGACCAGTCTTTTGCCATACTTTTTCTTACGTCTGACATTAGTCAATGACGAAAATTTTCTGTAAGTTATAAGTATTTCCAAAAAACACCTTAGTAAATTACATGTATACACAAATATCAATCAGTAACAACCAGGTTTTCCTGAAAACAATTGTTTAGAATTCAGAGGTAGTTTATCAAACAATTTATTTTCTTCTTTTAACCCAGGGGAAATTTGGAAAGCCTGGTGCACCTGGTATACCTGGACCACCTGGAAGATTAGGCCAAGACGGTCTACCTGGACCTCCTGGACCAGCTGGTTTTCCTGGACCTAAAGGCGACAAAGGATATCCAGGGACTCAGGGACCTAAAGGTGAAAAGGTTGGTGGCAAGTTATTTTATGACATTTAGTGCATAAGTATAAATTGTTTTTGCATTTTGTGAAACTTATTATACTGAGTTTCCATGCAGAGGAACTCAAATGTTTGATCAGTAATCCTATGTTTGACCATTATTAAAGGATAAAGCTATCATCTAGTTGACTTTAAGCATATTAAATACCCAAGCTAATATAACTCTCTAAATCAGTGATGCAGTTGACACTTGCGAGCTTACGTAGCCAGCATGTATAGTGAATGTATTTGAATTAGTAAAACAGTTTCATAATTTGATGAAATATTGTACTAAAAATAATTCAAATAACATGTATATATGCATACAGTTTTGATATTTTGCGGCTTTAGTAAAAACACATATTCATATTTGACATTGTTTTGGATCTGTACACACTAACTGATACACGAATGAGTAAAATATGTGACAAACAACTTTTTTAAACAGTCTCATTAACATAAGTCTAAATTATTTCCAACTTGAACTAATGTAATTTAGGGTGTAAAAGGTGAAACAACTGATGTGGATGCAATGCCTGGGCCAGATGGAGACATTGGTGAACCAGGAGTGAAAGGAGATCGTGGTGATCCAGGTATGAAATTTTCATTAAAATAATCTTTATTTATCAGATCACACATGATTAATGAAACTCAAATAATTCTGACTATCGGGACTAGCTAACAAATATTCTTCGGTTTCACGTATACAAATTAGTGTTTTTAATCTAGGCAAATCAACATTTATGAAATATCATCGGAATCATGAACCTAAAAAGGTTACGTCACCACTGGAAACCTAGATGCACTAGACATTTAGTCCTATACGGGATCGCTCAACAGTATGCGCCTACGATCTCACACGCGGGACCCGATCGAAGAACCATCGACCTGTAGTGCCGTGCTTCGTTAATAGTTCACCCTGATAACCGTTATGGTACAAGTCTTAACGGTGTATAATATCAGAAGGCAAAGGGAAGCGGTAACTACATTTTTATTGATAATTGATGCAGACCAGAAGGTTGTTAGCACATGAGCAAATGTTAGCGAGCGATGCACACATGACACGTATTGGAGATGGCTGGTAAGCCAAGTCATTTTAAGAAAGCGTTAATTAACATTTATAGTCAGACAAAAATGAATGACAGACATATGATGAATAAGATATGAAGTGTGCATACATATGCTACTTTCTTACTTACTTTCGCCTGTTACTCCCAATGGAGCATAGGCCGCTGACCAGCATTCGCCAACCCACTCTGTCCTGGGCCTTCTTTTCTAGTTCTATCCAGTTCTTGTTCATTCTTCTCATGTCTGTCTCTATTTCTCGGCGTAATGTGTTCTTTGGTCTTCCTCTTCTCCATTGACCTTCAGGATTCCATATGAGGGCTTGTCTTGTGACGCAATCGGGTGATTTCCTCAAAGTGTGCCCTATCCACTTCAGCGCTTCTTCCTGATTTCTTCCTCCGCTGGAATCTGATTTGTTGTCTCCCACAGTAACTTGTTGCTGATAGTGTCTGGCCATCGGATCCGAATTATCTTGCGTAGACAACTGTTAACAAACACTTGTATCTTCTGGATGATGGCTTACGTAATTCTCCACGTCTCCGCCCCATACAATAGAACTGTCTTGACATTTCTATTGAAAATTCTAACCTTGGTGTTGGTTGACAATTGTGTTGAGCTCCAGATGTTTTTCAGTTGTAAGTATGCTGCTCTTGCTTTGCCGATCCTCGCCCTCACATCTGCATCTGATCCACCATGTTCATCAATGATGCTGCCCAGATATATAAAGGTTTTCACATCCTCCAAAGCTTCTCCGTCAAGTGTAACTTGATTAGTGCATGTTGTGTTGTATCGGAGAGTCTTGCTTTTCCCTTTGTTTATATCGAGAGCTACTACTGTTGAGGCTGCTGCTACACTGATCGTTTTCTCCTACATTTGTTGTTGCGTTTGTGACAGAATAGCCAGATCATCCGCGAAGTCTAGATCGTCAAGTTGCATCCTGCCTGTCCACTGTATCCCGTGATTTCCTCCAGATGTTGACGTCTTCATGATCCAGTCGATGACCAGGAGAAAGAGAAAGGGTGAGAGTAAGCAATCTTGCCTAACACCAGTCTTTACTTCAAACGAGTCGGTGAGTTGTCCTCCGTGGACGATTTGGCAGTTTAGTCCATCATAGGAGTTCCGTATGATATTGACTATATTCTCAGGCACGCCGTAGTGTCGAGGAAGCCTCCATAGTGTTGTCCTGTCCATGCTATCAAATGCCTTCTCGTAGTCGATGAAATTGATGTAGAGTGATGAATTCCATTCGATTGATTGTTCCACAATGATACGTAGAGTTGCGATTTGGTCTGTACACGATCTATCCTTACGAAATCCAGCTTGTTGATCTCGAAGTTGGGCGTCCACGGAATCCTTCATCCTGTTTAACAATACTCTGTTGAAGACTTTTCCTGGTATTGAGAGAAGAGTGATGCCCCTGTAGTTGTCGCACTTGCTAAGATCGCCTTTCTTTGGTATCTTGATCGGAAGTCCTTCTTTCCAGTCTGTTGGTACTTGTTCTTCGTCCCGAATCTTACTGAAGAGGATGTGGAGTATCTTGGCAGTTGCTGTTACATTTGCTTTCAGCGTCTCTGCCGGGATGTTGTCTGGTCCCGCTGCCTTGCCGCTCCTGATTTGTCTAATGGCCATGCTGGTCTCTTCAATTGTTGGTGGGCCAACATCGATTGGGAGGTCCGTGGGTGCTGCTTCGATGTTGGGTGGGTTCAGTGGAGCTGGTCGATTCAAGAGTTCTTTGAAGTGTTCTACCCACCTGTTTCGTTGTTCTGCAATGTCGGTGATTACTTTGACTTCCTTGCTTTTCACTGGTCTTTCTGGTTGACGGTAATTTCCAGCAAGTTTTTTTGTTGTATCATACAGTTGTCTCATGTTTCCTTCTCTTGCAGCCTTTTCCGCTGTCATCGCTAAATCTTCCACATATTTACGTTTGTCGGTTCTGATGCTCCTCTTCACTTGCTTGTTTGCTTCTGTGTATTCGGCTTGTGCCTTGACTTTTTCCGCTCTTGTTCGGCTGACATTGATTGCTGCCTTCTTGTTCCTTCTTTCTTCAATTTTATCCAGTGTACCAACAGTGATCCATTCCTTGTGATGGTGCTTCTTTTGGCCCAGAACCTCTTGACACGTTGAAACGATTGCCTCCTTGATACCTTTCCAGTTGCTCTCCATGGTAGTCCCCTCTCCATTGAGTAGATCATGAAAGGCCTCGATCCTGTTGATGAGGGCTATGTTGAATTTGTTGAGTTTGTCAGCATCTTGAAGAAAGGCCGTATTAAACTTTTGTGATGTTGTCCGCACAGTTGTCCACTGCTTATTGAGTTTTAGTTTCATCTTGGCGACCAGCAAATTATGATCGGATGCTATAGCAGCACCTCTTCTGGTTCTCACATCCTCCATCGTCCTCCTGAACTTTTTGTTGATGCAGATATGGTCGATTTGATTCTGTGTAGTGTGATCCGGTGAAATCCAAGTGGCTTTGTGTATGTTTTTATGTGGAAATATGGTGCCACCTATGACCAGTTTATTGAAGGCACATAGGTTTGCAAATCTCTCACCATTTTCGTTCCTTTCTCCCAGTCCATGTTGTCCCATGACGTCTTCATATCCAGTGTTGTCCATTCCAACCTTGGCATTGAGATCTCCCATCAGAATGGTCAGGTCTTTGGTTGGGCACTTCTCGAAGATCGACTGCAGCCTATTGTAGAATTGGTCTTTAGCGTCTTCATCGTAGTCGTTGGTCGGCGCATAGCATTGGATGACGTTCATTGTAATGCCCTCTCTCTTTGTTTTGAAGGAGGCTTTAATGATCTTTGGTCCATGAGATTCCCATCCAATAAGTGCATTTTGTGCTTTTCTGGACAGCATCAATGCAACTCCTTGTGTATGTGGGGCATTTTCTTCTTCATGACCGGAGTATAACAGAAGTTCTCCTGAAGACAGTCATTGTTGTCCAACCTGCATCCAATGTGTTTCACTGATTCCAAGCACCTTCAGGTTGCAGTTTCTCATTTCTGCAGCAATTTGGAAGACTCTTCCGGTCTCCCACATTGTCCGGACATTCCATGTACCTATAAAAATTGTTGCTCTGGTTGTAAGAAGGTGCATCGGCCTCATGACTTCCGAAAGAACTCGGCTTTCATCATGAGACATCATAATTATTCCTTCTACTCCCAGGGCAGAGTTTAAATGGTTTGAATGATTTTTTCTGGTTAGCGTTTTTTTAGCGAGTTGATTTTCTACGGGATGGGGTCGCTAACCCCATGCCCAACCCTCCTCCTTTACCCGGGCTTGAGACCGGCAGTAACCCCCTGAGGAGCTACAGGCGGAGTGCATACACATGCGCTCATATAAAAAAGTAGTCAAGGTTAATAAGCGAATAATTAACAAGATCAAAATATGACTCATAATGGACAGGGTATTGACTTGGCTAGAAGCTAGAATAAAGTATATGGGCTTAACATATAAACTGGTACTACAGACCTCACTCGCGAATACCTAACTTCAAGCCATCTGAGCAGCAATCCAACTGTGCTAATGTCTAATTCCAATCAACACATGACATTGCCCAATTATTTTCCATTGTTATATGTGGGTAACTACCTCGCGCCCGACACAACATAGCACTACTGGTTATGGCTTCCCATCAGAAATCCGGAAAATTTCTCTAGAGGCTAGTCACTAATGAACACTTCATAATTGTTAGCATTGGGTTGTGGCGATTGTTGAATTCCATTGAAATCATGAAACGATCTAAGTCAGACCAATGGACTTTTGCTCAGTGGTCTAGAGATTAGGAGTTCACTCAAGTGATCAAAGGTCCTGGGTTCGAATTCTGAGCGCAGGGTTGTGGATGAGCATATCAAGAAGAAATGACTATCTAGTACTTTCAAGTTTCTTAGATTGATTCATAATTCCAAAGTCAGCAACCTCTAAAACCCGATACTAACATTCCTGAAATAAATGTTCAGGTTTTGAGATCAAATGTTTTGATAATTAATTCTTCCGACTGTTCTTATTTTTTAACCTGAAAAGACAACTATATACTGGTCCAACATGATTTCCACTCTCATACTGGTAGTTAACTATTGGATAAAAATGATGTCTTATTTCATCAACCACACAATGGAGTTAAATATATTTGAGTTAAACTTTATGTTATTTATAGTTTATAAATAATTATCATTACAATCTGATGTTATTTGGAAAAATCATTAAAAGCATAAGATCACTACACAAACTGTTTTTTTCTTGTTAATATATTATTTCAAATTATTTATAGTTGAAATCGTGAGTCAATTGAAGCTAGACCACTAAGGAAAACCTGGAAGCACTGGACGGCCGTTTCGTCCTATTGTGGGACTCCTCAGCAGCGTGCATCCACTCATGATTTCAACTATGAAAATACTGAAATCTCCACAAATCCCGTTCTGATCAAATTATTTAATACATCAAAATTTATATAATAATCATACGGTAGAATTAAAATTATATCTGAATGATTTGGGATGAGCAAATGAAAATGGATCTATCACCAGGAAGGGAACGTACTGCTCAAATTGATAAAGTGATGATTATTGTCTTTGACTCATGGTACATGTAAATTCAAATGATCATGGAAAATACAATACATTAGTAAATATGCTAATAACATCACTATTCTAGACTTTTTAGTGAAAATGAGGATCAGGTCTAAGATTTTTAAAATTACCGCAACTCGATAAATTACGTGAAAATACTTGACAATAAAGATGTAAATAAACTGAAAACTTAAACTAAAAAAAATTATGAAAGTACAGTAATTTTGGTCGCTTTATGATTTTTTATTTTGTTAAGAAAATTTTATTCTCACATTTATTTCGTAGGCCCTTATGGACCAAGAGGTTTACCTGGTGGACGTGGACCACGAGGAGACCCTGGACCTAAAGGTGATCCAGGTCCTGGATATGCACAAGTAATTATAGGTGAACCAGGAAGGAAAGGAGAAAAAGGTAAGACATATATGTCAGTCAAATTCATTTTTTGAGTATTGACGCATGTGTCGGTTCGACAATATAATCTGTATTACTGTATATTTAAGGAGAATATATTTTAATGGTCAAAAAGTATACTATAATGTATTTACTTATGTATAATAATATTTCATTTGCTTAACAATGTAGAGGCTAATCGGTTAGTTTCTCAAATGAAGACATCATCTATCTGCCTATTACAGTTCTATCTCAAGAGTACATTTATACATACTTTGAAGTGTACGTTGATTGTTTGAATTTTATTCACACATATCTTAATTACTGAATTGAAATTGTAGCCCGTAATGGCAATACAAGTGCTAAAAATATCAAAATAAAGTTGATAAAAATTCGGCTTAATTTTTGTATAATTATTGACAACAGATTTGTATTTCATCGTTAAACCAATCTCACTACTTAAATATGAATAAATGAACCTGTACAACTTAAAATATAATTCAATTTAAGTGGTTTTTCTCACCTTCTCTATTAAAATAAGTTAAAATGATTTTTCTAATTACTTTTTACTGTCAACTAGTTCGATAAATATAATTTTCCAAATAGTATTATCCCAAACAGGTAGTTGTATGTTTCATAATCAATAGCTTTATATATAAATTATTTTAGGTCTGCCAGGATTAGATGGAAAACGTGGAAAGACAGGACGACCTGGAATTCCTGGAACGAAAGGAGAAAAAGGTTTCCCTGGTCGAGAGGTATATGGAAGGAAAGGTGAAAAGGGTTCACGTGGATTTCCAGGACCCATTGGACCACCTGGTTAGTTATTTAGATTTATGTTTTACCCATGACATAAAGTTGACAAATTAACTTTGCGAGTGTTTTTAACATACTTCCAAATGAATTAATTTTCCTTCATCTTTTGTAGGTGATCGAGGAGCTTCAGGTATACCAGGTCCTATTGGTGACCAGGGGGAAATAGGTCCTAGTATTGATGGTCCTCCTGGGCCTAAAGGAGTTAAAGGTCAACCTGGTTTACCTGGCATACGTGGGCGTGAGGGTGATCCTGGTCCTGCTGGAGAAAAAGGGGATTGCATTATGTGTCCAGACGGAAGACCTGGTTTACAAGGACCGAAAGGTTTCCGAGGTCAACCTGGAATTCCTGGTGAACCAGGATTGGATGGCTCACCAGGACAAAAGGGATTACCTGGAGCCCAAGGACGAGATGGTCTTGTTGGGGTACCTGGTCAAAAGGCATGTAATTTATTTTCAATAACATGAATTGAAATTTTCGTATTTCTAATGAGTCAGCATGTGAGCATTTTGATACACAATAGGTGGCGTTAATCATTTTAAATTTATCTATAGTAAAATATTTGGTATATGGTAAATATTTCAAGATCAATTGACTGAGTTAATCTTATCGGTTGTTTAAAATAATATATATTAGCTCGGTAAATTATTGATTGAATTACATGTAAATGAAGTTTACATGTCCACCTGACTTATACTGAATTGAGACACTGAGCAATGATTCGCAGAGAACGTATTGTTCACTTTAATTGGTCTACTGTTTTGCTGATACATTATATGGTTAATTTCCATAATCTATACCCTTATATCCTCCTTATAGAAATTTATTTAGTTGATACCCTTTTCCAGTGTCCAGCTTCTTATCATACTAAATGGTCCTCTTAGTTTTTTGTATGCTATGTTGAATGATTAATGACAATCAATATGAAGTCATTTATTTTGATTTCGCACGTCTGGATTTATTAGCAAGATTCAATTATAATCTCATAAGATTGACATTTAATGATGAACATTCTATGTGATTCAGTGCAGTGGTCAAAGCATGACCATTGCATTCAGTTAGTTGTAACCAATATACGACTTGAAACAAATATAGACTAGCTAAAGTCGCCATTTTTACATCTGCACAACGAGATATGATTAATATAATGAATACCAAAGAATTCAATATAATAGTAGTGTCAATGATAGTGAGAGATACTAAACATTAAGAATATGGTTTGAGAAGGTTAAATGGAAAGATATGCATAAAGAAACAACGGAAGTCAAGATCAAAAGGAAATTAAGGAGTGAATAGCTCTGCGTCACTGATCTACTGTGATCCTTTTTACTCAGAATCTCTAAACAACAACCACAGTTATAACGTAACCCTCAACCAAGCCATCTGTGTAGTCTAGGAAAGCTCATTTACTGATGCTATGTCTTGATTTGGTCACCTTTGGTCTGCTTTCGATCCATTCTTACTCTAACCAACAGTGCTCATCAAGGTGCGTGATGGTTGCGTAAATGTAACACATCCTAATCACCTTGGTCAACGTAAACTCAGTCTCCTCAACTGATTTATTCTATCAGTATAAACCATGGTATCCTGATGTTCATCTCCAACAATCTAGTTTCTAGTACACTGATTTTTCATCTTTTAGTGTAGCTTAGACATTATAAAGGTGATTACTAGAATTCGGTTAATACTAGTAGCTAGACAACGTAATGCTAATTAAGATTTACAAATAATCTACCATTTCTTTCAAATCTATTATATTACTTGGGTTATATAAGCATTTGTACTCTAAATCTTTCACACATCTAAAATTTTATAACCAAGATGTCTTATACATGTAGTCATGTTAGAAAATAATTCAGTTCACTAGTAAACATAATCATGAACTATCTTTACAGTTATGGAAATTCAGCTTATTCAGAAAGAGAATGATGGAAAGAGTTCATTATGTAATCAACCAAAGGAAATATGTCCAAACTATTATTAAATGGAGTAGAGAAAAAGATTAAGACTTGTAGTAAGTACAAAATAACATTGAAGTAGTGGTGAAGATATGATGAACCTACAAAAAATTAAAAACTTGAATGGCTATAGTTAATGGAGGGGGATTACATGCTTTCGACATGTTGTGAATAAGATCATTTATAATAATTCCTATAAAATAGGCAAGACAAAGTAGCTAAAATGCACATTGGTGTTAGTGTATTTGGGCGTAAGTTGATATAGAGGATGAGGAATGTTTGAAAAGTTTATGAGTCAATAACAAACATTATTGCAAAGATTCAAAGCATAATATTCAATAACCGAGGTAGTGCTAAATGTAATAAAACCTCTTTTTGAGATGAATAGTAATCTCTTTTTAATAGCTTACCTTATCACTTAGGAAGCTATAAGTGGATCTATTATATGTCTTGTACTTACGATATTTCCGTCCATTACACTTTTAGACAGTCTAAGTGCGGTGTATGCTACGTATGTCTACAGATGTAAGTAGTATGTAGCACGAATCGGAAGTGGAAACCCTGGCATCAGAAGGCTAAGAAGATCAAGTTGAAGCGAATACAGAAACGGATATAGAAAGGAATTAAAACTTAGAACAATCATGCAGAATGTGAAGGACAAATGATGTAATTTTGCAAATGAAGTATTCAATCTATGATTCCCATACTGTGTCAAAAGATTCTGTATGTATCCGGTCATCCTGAGTGTTCGTTCATTACATAAAAGCACTAATCATATGATTCTCTGGTATATATTCAAAGATTCTGTTATAAATTTGCAGATTATGTATCCATGCTGATTGATAATTACTGTTTTCTTTCTAAAAATAGCACATTTACAAATCAAGCATAAAATGTTTGTCATCATTTTTTTAAAGTTGATAAATCTTTTCCATATAGTCAACTTTATGGAAGTCCAGTTATTGAAATTTGATTTAGAATGTCATTTTGAAGTTTATTTTATTTTAATAGGGTGAGAAAGGTGAACGTGGAAATGATGGTTCACGTGGACCCAAAGGTGAACCAGGTCCTGTTGAAATAGTAAATGTCACTGTACCAGAAGCACCACGTGGCGATGTTGGTCGTCCTGGTCGTGCTGGAGTAGTCGGTGAACAAGGTCCGAAAGGTTTTCCTGGTCCTAAAGGCTTACCTGGGCCAGAAGGTCCTAAGGTAAGGCGTCGTCGCTATAAACCGTAGTCATGTGGCTTGGTTGTTTTAGATACAAATGATCAGATTTATGTTCACACTTCGTTATTTTACTGTTAAGAACTGTTCTATTCCTATGATTGCTTATTTATTACCAATAAAAATTTGATTTATAGAGTAATGTATTAAATTCTGGATTAGGTAAATGATTAATAATCCATGAAATCTGATCTTAAATTGTTTATGATATGAGATCTACGCTCAGAATATTTAGTGAAGTTGCCATCCTCATCATAGGCCATAAATATCTCCCAATGTAGCTTATGGTGCTTGAGGTGTCTTGAATGCTAGTTTATAAAATACGGACATTCTACCATATTAATTACTGTACTATTGAAAATGAAAATAGGTCAAAACTGAGTTGTAGACTTTTGTACGAACACTCGTCAATATTTGAATGAAAAAATTGACAGAAATCGGGCGCTGAGAATATAGAAGACATTATTAATGGAAATTATGCTTAAAATAATCTCAGCGGTCAAAATCTAAACAGTAATTGGACAAGCACTTAGTATAGATTCGATTTGGTTGTTGAACATGATATATTCTTTGATAAATTTGCCCTTAATTATTACCTTGAAGAGGCCCATACAAGTTTACTCAACGAAACTTTGGAATTACTTAAATTCCAATCCTTGAGATTATTTTAAACATAATTTTCACAAATACTTAATTGTTGATTGATAAAAACATTTTTATCTAGATAACTACACATGTTCGTGACGTGACTTTTGCCCGGTTAATATATCACGTGGCAAGGTAACCAATCAGAACACGACTTATACAATCTTCACACTGTACCATAACACTGACGTACTGACCGGTCTGAGCAGCCTAGCGTCCCTATTGATCCTCTTCCTGCCTAGGCCTGCCTGTTGAGTCCAGAACGCCAATAGCAGCTCCCACTGTATGACTCATATATTTCAAACATACCTGGTTTATATACAAACCAATCAGACCACATCATACATAAAATATAAAATAACATTTGCACAAGATCAAGCCAAAATATAGCTGTGATTGTATGAGACTGTAATTGATAAACTGGGCATAACTTAAGAAGAGAAAACCGTTTAATAATAGTCTATAGGTTAAAATAAAGCTTATAATAAAGGGAATATAAATATAAATAATCTGGTTACTCAGTATTTATACAATAAGAATATATATATATATATATATATATATATATATATATATATATATATATATATATATATATTAGTCCATTATTAGCTCTCAGAAGTTACTCATAATTCAATCTTCGCTAGGATATAACAATTCATACTGTACACAGAGCCTTAGTTGCAAATGGTAATGAAGTGAATAGTGTGAGAGGATAGACTGATTAATTTCTAATTAGACTGTGTTTGGTCACTCAAAATGAATGAAAAATTTATAACAGTATAGTCATTCAGTATACTCATAAGTAGAATTAACAATGGTGTACTGAGGTGATTTTTTGAGCCATCGAAATCAATAACTTTTAATTACTATTTTGAATATCTTGTTTATATAGGGCGACAGTGGACTGCCAGGATTACCAGGTTTTAGTGGAACAGTAGGAAAACCTGGAAGACGTGGTGAACCAGGTCGTGATGGAATTGTATTCGATGCACAAAAAGGAGCTCCGGGTATTCCTGGCAGAGATGGCATTAAGGGTGAAAAAGGAGAAAAAGGAGACAGAGGTAAGTAAATGTTAACACCTAAATTAACCGATTCCCATGATTATATATAGTAGTTAGTTGGATATTTTTCCATTATCAAGCAACGACTCTATATATTACCTTTAAAATGACAGTTTAGTTTTTGAAATAGTGACGAAAGCTTTTAACTTGTACAATCTCCAGTTAGTGCTTTTAGTGGTGTCGTATTTTGTTGGATAGATGGTTGAATTGAGAAGATTGTGTTGTTATTCTGAAAAGCATTATCAACATCTGATGAACCTGGAGACCAGTTTTATAATTAATCTATCAGTGCTAAATATCTGATTGACTGATTATCATCACGGGTTTTGTAGTTTTCATTTGATTTCACACCTTCATTGACTGTCTCGTACGTTTACCTCTGTTTAAACGAGTAATTAAACTTTCCAATATGGACTGACACACCACGTCATTGTAGACATGTTTGTCGACTGACTATTCATGTGGCATTGATGGTATTCTTGGGATCTTCATTATCTAAAATTTCGACGTTAACCCGAACGAATTTTTGTCTGCTTTGATTGAATGCATTAAATATTATCTTATTTGATTGCTTATCTATGTCAACTTTGTCCCATATAGTGTTTATCTTAGTTGGTACAATTTCTTTTGTAAATGACTTATACTGATGTGTTTTTCAGATTTCATAAGTTTTGTAGTGATTTCAGAAACGTTTTCCACACAGTATATATCTTTATAGTTTCTGAGTATAGTCTAAATTAAAATACAGAAAAATCAAAATCAGTTTATAATAGAATGTCAAGTTTTTATAAAAAGATTATATCACATTGTTATTTGTATATTGCTCCTTTATTTAGGAATGGATAATATTGTTGATCAAATATTCGAGTATATCAAAGGTGAAACCGGTCCGAAAGGATACCCAGGAGACAAAGGATTATCAGGATTCCCAGGAGAAAAAGGTACTTCTTTCTTAGCACAATTTTTCCAAATTAGATATTGATTCTCAATTATGTAATCTTATGATTGAGCTGTACATGTCAAATACCAGAATAATGATTTTTTTGTGCCAAGTAATTGTATACATGAATTGATAGCTGAATAGTTTATTATTAAACCATTTACACAGATGTACAGTATTACACATCTCTAAGAGCAATCAATTGATTTACTGTTATATTCTAATCTCTATTACCGTTTGCTTACTAATGTTATACATTTAGCAACACAGAAATTTAGAAGAGAAATATGGAACTATTTCCTTAATTAACGCATAACCATAATGCCGAAGATATGCTTCACTTCACTTACTAATAACCTTACAGCTAACCGCACTATTTATTACATAATAAATATGCTGAACAATCGATATTTAAGAAAAAAATTCACTTGATATTATTTGGTTGAATCTTCCCATTGACGCGCGTCTTGGATTCCACTGCTAGCCACTATCCATCTTTGCTAATAATGCTTGTGAATTAAGGCTACATCGAGGCAATACGCACAGTATGCACATATGGTCAATAAGAGACTGATCAATTACAATCCTAAACGTCAATGGGAAGATTCAACCAAGCAATACTAAGTGAATTTAAACTTCAACCCGATTTCCCAAGCAAGTGGCTACCAGAACTCAGTAGCTAAGTGAATAATGCGATGGTGTTTGAGGCAAACGGTACTGGGTTCTAGTCCCGAAGTAAAAATCAACCCTCTGATGCAGGTATATCCAGCTGACGAGTCCCAAATAGGATGAAACATGCGTCCTGGATTCCACTGCTAACCATTATCCATCTTTGCTTATAATGTTTAAGAAAATCTGTTGGTAAAATGTTATTCATTTTCATATTGTAAACTTCACTGAAATTGCCTCATTGTCTTATAAAATAAGTCGTACCACTACTACTACTTTAAAATAACAAATACTATTTTTAGAATAACAATCTTTGTACTCAGTACTAAATGTTTAGCATTGAAGTAATTCTGTATGTAAACAAAAAAGATTAAATGCTTGATTTTTATGTTGGATTATATACCACTAAAGTAAGTTCGTTAATTAGTGCATACTTTCAAATGTCTTACTACAAAACTAAGCTAAACTAACGATGATTGTGTAATAGTTCTGATCAATCAATTTGTAATTTGTGTGAGTGAGTACATTACAAACAATGTGGTTTTAACACAAAGTGATCAGAAAATTAACTTTTATCAATAATGTAATATTAACAGAGTTTTATCATTTTCTACAAAGTAAAAGAGCTAATAATTTACTTTACAAACGGAACTTACTAGTAATTTGACTAGAGATTACAGAAGATAATCATTTACGATTAATATCATTGACTATATAGAGATAATTGGTGAATTAACATGGAATTTATGTAGATACAAACGAATTTATATAAAAAAATCCCTATGTGAACCTATCCCCAATATTTTGAACATCAAACTCAGTCGAGTTGAGCTTGTAACTCGAAACAAATAGGAAAGTATTTTAAATACACTCTAATAATAGCTAGGTCCCAAATGAATACATTTAACTGGGGTATTACTGCTAACCGTACGTTTTTAATGCCTTAACCTTGAATCAGAAATGATATTCACAAATTTCGGATATTTGCAAGTACATAGATACACAATGATGCCACTGATTTAGCTTATTCGTTTTTGAAAATAACACTATTTGATAGTTAGATACAATGAGTTAGTTTTGATTTGCGACAACGAGAATCAGTACTCCAAACTGACAAGATTAAATGTGATGGCTTTTATTAAAACTGATCCCTAAATTCATAAAATGAATCGTGTGCACTGACTTAAATATAATACTCAGCTTTTTATTAATTTCTTCTAACTGCTAGTTTTAACTGAAGTCATGCTTACACTGACTACCGTTTCAAAAAACTTCAGTGACTAGGAAAAGGATCCATTAAAATAAATGCATTCCGTTAAATATCCGAGAGTTACAATAACAATGCTGTTTACTTAGTGTCTTAGAGATGTTAGAAACAGTTTTGATATTGCAAGTGGATTTGAGCATGACTATTTCTATTGTGCCTACTTTGATGACTCCAAATACGAGCCAAGAAAGGTGTATATTTGATCAATTAATACTGAAAAGAGAAAAATTATAAGAATTATATTTGTATGTTACTACGGTAACTTAAATGTGATCTTTAAAATATTTTGTATTATATTTTACTTTCTAGGCAGAGAAGGTGAGAAAGGAATTGCTGGAATACCTGGAAAACAGGGTAAACCAGGTTTTCCTGGTCTACAAGGAGCTGCAGGTGAACGGGGAGACAAAGGTTTTATGGGTCCCAAAGGACCGAGAGGTATTCCAGGTCCATCAGGAGAACCAGGAAGAAAGGGAGTAAAAGGTCTACTTGGCCCAAAAGGTCTTCCTGGACCTGCTGGTGACATAGGTGAACGTGGTCCATCTGGTCTACCAGGTTTCTCAGCGACCGGAGAAAAAGGTGAGGTAGGTACACAAGGATTCCCCGGTCCTCCAGGTAGAAAAGGAGTTCCGGGTATTAAAGGTGAAAAAGGAGTTAGGGGAACTGATGGACTACCAGGATTAAATGGTTCAAAAGGTGAAATAGGTGATCGGGGACCTAAGGGGGAAACTGGAGAACCGGGTGAGGTTTATCAAGGAATAAAAGGGCCAAAAGGTATGAAAGGTGAAACCGGTCTTCCTGGTGTTGATGGCCCTAAAGGAGATTCAGGAGAAGACAGATTCCCTACAATTGCAATGAAAGGCCTTCCTGGTCCACCAGGGCCTCGTGGACCTGAAGGACCGAAAGGTTTACCTGGAAATACAGGGTTACCTGGGAGAGTTGGTCCTAGTGGACCTAGTGGAGCACCTGGGTCTCCTGGTGAGAAAGGTGATGCTGGCCAACCTGGAACATTCGGCCCCAAAGGGTTGCCTGGAGAACCTGGAGATGATGGTGTAGAAGGTCCGAGGGGTGAAACTGGTGACGAGGGGCCAAGAGGTCTTCCTGGATCACCAGGACCCAAAGGATTATCTGGTTTAATGGGTCCTAAGGGACTTCCAGGAGAACCAGGAGGAATAGGAGTTGGAATTAAAGGACAAAAAGGTTTACCAGGACTCAAAGGCAAGTAATTATTATTTTCGTAAATCAGTATATCTAGTGTATTTTGCCATTTATTTTGGGAGTATTTCTAGTGATGTAGTATGAAATGATTTCTGTGATAAGTAGAGGAATGTTTAATAACTCCAACCTTTTTAATGACACTAAACAACATAATGAAAACAAAATCATAACTTTTTAAAAAAATTTAAGTATACTTAACTTTTAGTCGATTCTACCAAAGAAAATTGACAATGAATCGTGATTCAAATGAAGGTATCAACTTACTGAATTAGAATTACAATATTTGCGTGGATTTTTCTAAAAGGAACAGTAGTAAATTCAGTATACTGTTGGAACTCCAAATGACTTTATAACAATTTATTCTAAATTACATTAATTATAGTCAAGTAATCATATAGTATTCCTTGGTATTCTGAAATATTTCAATAATTTTATTGCATATGTGAAATTGAACTAATTTATTCTTTTTGGATTGTTTGATTTCGATACGTCTTGTGATTGAACGCTATACTCGGATTCTAAGCTAGTCTTGTACCCCCAAGCTATAACTGCACAGCGACTTGAACACGAGAGAAAAGGCACAAAATATGCTTGGAGCACTTTACTCCAAAGGTTCATTCATGTACAGAAAATATAGGGTTTTTATAGTATTTTAGAAGTCCTTGGGTTTTCCTGAAAATTATAGAATACTACTAAACATAGTAGCATTGTAGTAATCAGCCAATCAGAACCTCTACATGTGACTTTTCATTTTCGTGATATTTCTAGCGAAACGTCTAATCAAACGCTGATTGGATGAAATGCTTCTTAATGTTTTCCCGAGCTTGTCATGTCTATTGCGAGTAATTTTCAGGATCGCCCAAACAGATTTAGACAATGATTACATGTATTATAGGTTAATAACAATGAACAGTTAACTAACTTTTAATGAGATCCGATATAAAAAGTTTAAAACCACAGTAATATAAAATAAATTGACTAACTGATTTGAATAGTAAAACATCTAATTCATAATTCTATAGGAATTTGTTCATTTTGTTTCATGGTTTAATCAACTAGTTAAGTGATATAGCTGAGTGGATGTAATACTATAAGCGAAATGGATTTGGACTGAAAGTAGACAGTGAATATAATTGTCTCCTCCCTCCTCCAGTATCTTAAGTATCACCTACCTAAAAAATATCAGAAAGCATAGTTCAACCTGTGATTGATAAGAATTAATATTTAGGAAAAATATTACCCTCTAGAATCATTTTAAAATAATATAAAACTGTTATGAGAAAGTGATAAAATGGATTATGGTGATTAGTTCAGTAGAAGAATGAACTGTTCTACAACGTAGCAGTACGAACTAAAATCTAAAGTAAAAAAAAATTAGTGAAACTATTCATTACCGACCAATAAATCAGACAATTTTTTGCACGAAATTTAAAACAAGTTGATAGCTAGCTTGTACTTTATTAAGAGTTGAGTAAAACTTACAAATATTTAATTCTTAAGAAGCCTAAAGTTTGTACACATATCTGTTGTGCTATATAAAGTGGTGAGAAAGCTAAATTACGGGCAACACCAGTTCCTGAATAGACAGTCATACAGTGAGCATATTTTAAGGCATTTAATGTTTACCCAGTGGTGTATGTAGGGAGTTGCTCAAGATACATCGTACAAAAAAAAATCACTGATATATAAATCCGACTTTGTTCTTCTGGAATATTCCTGAGTATTTATAATAAATAATCCATGCATTCAACATTTCATAATGTCAGATAACTCGGCAAAATTTTACGGTCTCTTGAAGTCACTGGTAAAGTACATTTTCACAAAAAATGTCCTACCACTCTGGCAGTTGACCTAAAGTGTTGTTTTCTGCTTTAGTTGCTCCAGGTAGTTTGAACATTTACTTTCATATTATTATAGGTATAAAAGGTTTCCCAGGTGAACCAGGAGATGATGGAATACCTGGAAATAAAGGTCTTCCAGGTCTAGCCGGAGTAGCTGAAAAAGGTGAGAAAGGTGAAAAAGGATTAAAAGGTGCTCAAGGACTACCTGGAATAAAGGGTAGACCAGGTCAAATGGGTCCATTAGGAGAGACAGGTGATCCTGGTCCGACTGGCCCCATTGGTGAAAAAGGAGATCATGGAGTGCCAGGTCCAGCTGGTCGTCCTGGTCGAAATGGCATAGCCGGCGAGCCTGGCGACTTAGGACCAAGAGGACTACCGGGGCTACCTGGACCATTGGTAAGATGTTCTGATTTATTATCTTGTCATCCCTACAGAGTCTTGTTTATTGCGTTAAATTTCAGTGTCCTGATATTTACTGACCAACTGATTGTTGGATCAATGAAACACGAATTATTTCTGCTTGCATTTGATTTTAGGTTGCTTTTTCATATATTAACTATTTTCAAGTTGGTTATATAAGCATTATGGAAATTTTTTATGTAGATATACACATTTTGCAGTAAATGTAATATGATTGGATCACTTATTATCCAGGAAATCATTCATTGGTTTCAACTAAAAGTAAGGTTAAGGAAGAATTACTTGTTTACAGGTATCACATCTCAATTTATTGAATTTCAGATTTCATTGATTTGGTTACACTTTTTACATCAGAAATATGATTGTTCTATGACACACAAAACCTTATGCTCTCTATATTGACTAATAAAATGAATGTAAATTTCTCTTTTTTCTAAAACATTAGGAAGTCATTTTTAGAACTAGATTTTAATTAGCACAAGATTATTAAGCCCAAGTCTTCAGGTGCTTCAGTCTTCACCATGAATTTTCATTGTATAAAGAAGTGGTTTGCAATGAAGCAGATGACTAGAGTATTTCTATCTCCTGTAATTCGGTGAACGATATTTATAAGTGATAAAAACTCTTCTGCTGTTATACAGTCTTCTAAATAGTAACTATGATTTAGATATGAAATGTGAAAAAAGAGATTTAAAATAATAACTCAACCTCACGATGATAATAACGGTTTTTACTCGACACAGACTAAGTGAATCATAGAAGTAGTTTGTATAGATGGTGTTTCCGAATATTAGCATTAAGGTTTTTGCTTTTTAATATAGTACGAACTATTAAATTACTGAGAATACATCTAGTTCACAAGATATTGTGATATATTTTACCCATTTTAGGGCGATAAAGGTGAAAAGGGCTCACGCGGTACAACTGATCGATTAGCTGATGTTGGACCAAAAGGTGAAAAAGGTCAACCTGGTATAGTAGGTCCACCTGGACCCAAAGGTTTACAAGGTCCGAAAGGTGATCAAGGAATTCAGGGGATATCTGGTAAAGATGGTCTACCCGGTCAACCAGGACCTATGGGCCCTAAGGGAGAAAAAGGTGTACCCGGATCACCAGGACCAAGAGGAACTGAGGGGCAACCAGGTCTAAAAGGTCCCAAGGGATTTGTCGGCCCTAAAGGATTTCCAGGATCAGTTGGTAAGTTTAAGGAATATAATAGTCAACATTTCAGATCACTGACTGTATATGACTAACGTCTTAACTTTTCTATTTTGCTCCATCTTATAATAAACATGAGGAATGTCTTCTATTAATCTTTCAAAAACATATTCGTTTACTTTTGTTCTTATTAGGTCCTCCTGGAGAACGTGGTCCAACAGGAGACCGAGGTGAATTATTAAGATCCCCAGTCGGACCAAAAGGTGAACGTGGCTTGCTTGGACCACCTGGAGCTGTGGGTCGCAAAGGTGAGCCCGGGGAACCTGGAGCGAGAGGAGCTCCAGGTGAAGTGGGTGAACCCGGTCCAGATTTACTTGGAGCACCTGGAGAGAAAGGAAGTCCTGGGCCTACAGGTAGACCTGGGGTTCCTGGGATGAGAGGACCTAAGGGAGTCAAAGGTGTTTCACCTCGAGAGCCTGGCGAACCTGGCCCAAGAGGTGCTGATGGACCCCCAGGTATTAAAGGCGAACGTGGTTCTAAAGGATTTGATGGTTCAATTGGTAGAAAAGTAAGTTAAGAAGGGATTAATTCCTAAAAGTTGGTGTAACTTGGTGAGGTTTTTGTTGAACACGTCCAGCTTAACACATTTTGTGTATACACTTAACTAGCATTTTAGCTAAATATCCACAAGTTTTTATATGATAGCTTATCTCAGCGCCCAAGGTCTAGTCAGTTTTTGTTATTATATTCAACAAAATCTGATAAACACTTATGGAGTGCAGTTTCTCATTCAGGTTTCTTAATAGTAACCTAAATCCGAAACGTCAGTTAGAAAACAATTTCCACAATTCTCAAAACAATTTTGTTCGTAAATATTCAATTCGAACGGGATACAGCAGCAGAGATGCTAAATGGCAGAATTTCTAGATCTCAGAGAATGACATTTAATATGGCAAAACTCTAAATCGTTTTCCCCATTAAATACCTCATTCTATGAAGTGTAGAGGATAGATTTCCACTTTAGGCCACCTAATTATCTACTTGTCAATATACTTGTTTCTGTGTAACAGATTATATTGGCATTCAAGATATGCACTTGCCAAACGTATGTCCAAGCACTATGGACTATTATATTCAATACTTATGGATGTGTTGACTATCTTTGATAACGATATTATAGATAGATATTATTATAGATATTATCGTATTCAAAATTAGATATAAAGATGACTCCAAAGTTTAAGAAAATGTTGTCGGGGAAAAGAATACTTCCTTCACTGAGCTATTTTGCTTTCAATAAAATATCGATTTCATTTTTAAAAAATATATAACTACTAAAATAACTCATAAATAATGAAAGCACTGAGATTCTTTAATATTGTCATCTCTAATTTACATATATAAAGCTTATATATTTAAGTATTGACTTTAAACCAAGAAATGACTTTTCCTATTCAAGTACAACTTTGAGCATTTGTTAAGAGAGAAGAATATTTCCTCAATATAATAATTAATGTATCACAAAATTTGTGATAAATACCCATTTTATAAATTATTTCTCATATTTTCTTTGTTCATTTGTACAAATAGTTAAATTATGAAGTTAAGAGGTGTAATTGTAAAACTTTATCTTTTAAAAAGGGATTACCAGGTTTAAAAGGTGAGCAAGGTGCTAAAGGATTCCCAGGGAAAACAGGTAGACCAGGTGAAATCGGCGAGAAAGGTGACAGAGGATCTACAGGACTTCCGGGAGATAAAGGCAGTAAAGGAATAAAAGGTGAAATAGGCCGACCGGGATTACAAGGTCCTAAAGGAGATACTGCGATCTCTGTTTTGGGAGTAAAAGGCGAAAAAGGAATACGAGGAGATGATGGCTTCATGGGTCCCAAAGGTTTACCAGGAATCGATGGAGCCCCTGGAGCTCCTGGTCCAAGAGGTGAACCTGGAGATGTTGGAGAACCATCACCAGTAGGTCCGAAAGGTTACCCAGGTCCCACGGGTGAGAAGGGATTTATGGGTCCAGAAGGACCAAAAGGTGATGTTGGTCCAGTTGGAGAACAAGGAGCGCCAGGAGGCATTGGCGACACACGTGGTAACACAGGACACTTATTCACTGTGTAAGTTAAGATGTACTATTTTGTTTTTAAACTAAAGTAATACGTTGATGAATATTTATAACAATCATAACATTGTTATTAGCGGTAGCCGAAGATGTTCTATATGAGGGATAACTTTGGGTGAGTTTAAAAAAACAGATAAATGAAACACTGATCAGTAGATGATTTTCAATGAGATAGTGAGTCCTGCTGATAACTGCTCATAAAACCGAGTTATTAAAGCGGAGTCACAAGTGAACTGGTATCAAAGGCTGAAACAATTAGCTATCAAGTTATATTTAATAAACATTAAACATAAATGTATGTTTAGATATCACCTAAGAAGTAAACCATCAGTAGATATGGATTTGGAAGGTCACTTACTGATAAAATCAAGACTATGCTGTCAGACCTTGGCAAGCATCTAAAATTCATTATCATTAGAAGATGGTTACGCCCGTCAACATGGTAGCGTAATTTTGAATTCTAATTATCCATTTCAAAAGGTGAATCCAATTTTCGTTCTCTAATTATATCGCCTGCAAATTGATATAACGACCAATTCAGTGTAAACATCGACCACACAATGGAGATATGGACACTGAAATCAAAATATGATAATTTCTTGTCAACTGCATACAAACATAAGTTTGTACACACGTATATTCTTGGTTCAATCCCTGCTGGAATGAATGTATATTGCCAAGGTGTTTCATACTAGGATGAAACAGCTATCGATTGCTTCCTAGTTTTCTATGTACCTCGTCAGATGACAATACATGATGAAAATAATGTTCAAAGTAGAGTAGGATAAACTCTAATCTAAAAATATATAGATTTCAATGACAAAATACACGTCAATATTAGTAAGCAAGCTTTAATGGTTAACTCATATATATTAATAAAATGAAAACCAAGGTCGTAGTTGCAGGATTGTATCTATACAATGAGACACGAAACGAAGTGTATTTACACAATAAACCAATAAACAAATAAAATATGTTTGTTATTATATCTAAAGATAATCATTAGAATTAAGATGACTCGTTCAAATATGCACCTAATGTTTTATAGATACTTGACTTGTACAAACTCGTTTTAAATTGATGACACAAAAGCTATTCATTATGTTTATGATCCACTATAACTTCTAACATAGTTGTTATAATTCTACAAACAACCAAGTTTATGGTATCGACTGAGTTGTTCCTCTTGGGACTTGAATCTGTAGCACCTCGTGTCATATTGAAACATCATCGATAAAAATTCAGAAATTTATTACAGTAGATTTCAATGAAACATGGTTAAATAAATATTAAACTAATCAGTGATTCTTAATTTTAAATTTCAGTCATAGTCAGACTGCACGCATCCCGTCATGTCCGTCATCAACTCGTAAATTATGGGATGGTTATTCATTTTTAAGTATGACTGGATCGGATCGAGCTCATGTTAACGATCTAGCTAGTCCTGGTTCATGTCTACAATTATTTAATCCAATACCGTTTATGTTTTGTGAAAAACAAGAAAATTGTTATTATGCTCAACGAAATGATCGAAGCTATTGGCTGAGTACAGAAGAAGAACCAATGATGTGGAATCCAGTTCCAGCAAATGAAACTCAAAGATATATAAGTAGATGTGCAGTTTGTGAAGCTTCCAGTAAGGTGAGTTATGCTCAACAACACATATTACTATCTCTGCTTTGTTATAATATAATTTTACCTCTGTTTTGTATTTTGAAATTTAGGTTACTGTTTTCTTTGCAAAATTTGTTTAGTGTGATAATTAACAGTTAAGAAAGAACTTCATGAGGATAAACTTCTTGGGATATCTGAATTAAAGCGGTAACATTCCAGCCGAATGTTTTTCATTCCAGGCAACAGATTATTGCGTAATAGCTCTGGATAATCTAAACCTATATTACCTTCTCTTCGATTATGTTAGTAATAGACTGAATAAATCAGATGTGGTGTATATTTCAGTTTTTGTCTGGATTGTAAATTCTGCTGTGTATAATTTTATATACTGTAACTGTTCTCATATTATAAGTTTGAATGACAAGTCGATGGATTAGTATATCCTATAAAAATGACTATAATTTGTTTGTGTAAAACAAAATTATTTTTGGAATTTTATTTAAACCTTTTTGCCCATGAAGTACGGTTTTTCTCCATATATATACTACGTTTTCAATCCCCTTTCTATTCAGTCCTGTATTGTATTACTGTCAAATTACTTTTAATCATTAAATTCTTAAAGCAATCTAAGGCATTCATTACATTTTGTCTATATGTGCTTGATCCTTTTAAAAATTCTAACTGAACATGTATTTACTTTATCTAACAAATTACTTCCTTTTTTAGCTTTATGCTTTCCATTCGCAAACTTTGAAGATTCCTAAATGTCCTGATGGTTGGTCCACTCTGTGGCCGGGAAGTAGTTTCTTTATGGTGAGTTCTCTGAACATAAAATTGAATAATTTGTTTCGAATAATGTTTTCATTCTCTTTTATGACAGTACTCAACCCAACTAAATATATATTTTATTTCACATCGTATCAGTAAAATTCAGAATAACATAGTTTAATGTTACGATAGTCTAAGTACCCTTATTTTACAGTTCTTAACCGAATTTACTTATTAAAACTGTTATATCGTATGCGCCCGTAATTTGTATGAACGTGCGATTAGAGAGGAGTGAATTTATTGATCGGCCGCAAATGATGATTGAAATCGTACAAGCAGTCTTGGGTGCTATTCGGTCCTTCCTATCTGCCTAGCCCAGCCAGTTAAGTCCAGAACACAAATAACAGCCTCAGCAATATGAATCATTATTTACAAACACACTGGGTTTTTATACAAACCAAAGTAATCAATAAACTGATTATAACTCAAGAATCGTATGATCATAAATCAAAGATCAAAATAAAGCTCATGATAAGAGAAAACTAATATGAATAATTTAGTTACGTAACAACTGTACAATAAGAAATAGGCATAATACATTGGTCGATAATAGACCTCAGATTTACGATTCATAATTCACCAGGGGATATAACACCTCCCCTTTTTGAGAAATCCGGAGTTGACATCCGGATTTTTATTTTCTCGAATTCATCCCCCCCCCACGAAAGACTGTTGGATCCTCATGAACCCAAGTTACCATTATTGTGACATTATTTAAAACATATTCGTCGTATTTAGCTGAGAATCCACGAGAACTTATTAGATCGTGAGGATCGACTACATTCGATTTGAGGTCACCAGCGTCTGATTCTTCTGAAACAGTTTCCTTGAATTTACTCGGAACCTCATTAGTAAATAATGAATCATTAGGATAATCAGTATCTATGAAATTTGTATTGGATTCTTGATTATCATTTAATGCATCCGATATTTTTCTCCCATTTTTATAAGAGATTTGAACTGGAACATATGAATCAGCAAAATAATCGGGATCTGGCAGAACAATTAGATAATCTTGATCATTAGATTCATAAAAAAACTTTTTTGCATCATGACTGGTTTGATTTGGCGTCACTGTATTCAATATACTGCCCGATTTGTTCCCCGTTTCTTCGTGGGCGGGTACTACAGTAATTCCATGAGCATTTAGCAAAACATTGTCTTTCTGTAAACAGGTTGATTCACTGTTTGCACGTCCGTTTTCGGGGTTAATAGGACTTGGACCGTGTATAGGGCATGTCTCTGAAACAGGCAGCACCGGACTACTGGGCTGATCATGTAGGACTGTTACTGCTGCATCTAAATTACTGTTTTTCGCGGATTCATAGAGGCTTTCCTCTGCATATTCATTTGTTCTGTAATCGACTTCCAGTTCTATACGCAATTTAGAAATCAGTGCGTCAACTTCCGTTGCACCCCCAAAGCATGGGTGATTCAGCAGCGTCGCGTGTAACTTGTCAATGAAATCCAACTGACTCTTTTTAAAACGCTGCTCTTGTCTCTGAATTAGCAACTGAAATTGATCGGAAGTTAAAGCCATTTTTTTACCCTGTCGTCAGTTGTTATATCGTATGGGCCCGTAATATATATGAACGTGCAATTAGAGAGGAGTGGATTTTACTGATCGGATGCAAATGATACTTGAAATACGTACGAGCAGTCTTGGGTGCTATTCGGTCCTTCCTATCTGCCTAGCCCAGCCAGTTAAGTCCAGAACACAAATAACAGCCTCGGCAATATGAATCATTATTTACAAACACACTGGGTTTTTATACAAACCAAAGTAATCAATAAACTGATTATAACTCAAGAATCGTATGATCATAAATCAAAGATCAAAATAAAGCTCATGATAAGAGAAAACTAATATGAATAATTTAGTTACGTAACAACTGTACAATAAGAAATAGGCATAATACATTGGTCGATAATAGACCTCAGATTTACGATTCATAATTCACCAGGGGATATAACAAAAACCAAGCTGTCAGATATTAGCACCATTAATGTGCTCTGACAAGTTAAATTAAAGATGAAATAAGTTTTCCATTAGTTTGTACTGAAAATAACCATACAGACTATTTTTGAACAAATAGTTTTAAGTCTGTTTTCCTCTAGGTATGCTTTCATTCTTTCAAAGTTCAAAGAAAGAGATAAATTAATTTGCTAATGCTAAAATTTCAAATGAAATGTAACTAGTTGATATTATGAACATAAGTAAAGACTCATTGATTTCCTCACTGACTTTCATTTCAAACCTTCTCTATTCACTTGCTGTCTCGAACCCATCTATCATAGCTAACATCTCGATAATATCTTCAGTTCTTTAATTAATATTCATTCAGCTGCCCAATGGTTCCAGTTACTCAAATCACTTGTACTTGACTTTTAGAATCAGTTTTGTGAGTAACCTACCAGTTGCTTTGGTCACCCTTGTGGAAATGTCGAGTCGCAGTTGACTATGATCGCCACTACAGACCAGATTAAATCCCTCAGTAGGATAAATATTAGAAAGATAGTTATAGATTGTAGTTAAAATATATCTGTTGGTGATCTCATGATATCGAAATAATACAGAAATCGTGCCAAACTTTATAAGCGAGACTACCTGAGTAAGCTGAAGGTCACAAGCAACGGAAAAAGTGTGTTTTTGTTTCAATTAAACAAAAAGGTACAGTAAAACAATTACTGGTACAGTTGCTTATAATAATAAATGTTTTAATTACATCAACCGCGTTCTCTTCATAAAAGTAGATCATTACACCCTAGTAATTGTTTCGATATGTTTGTACCAAAGAGAAAACTATTCAAAATACCTTTTATGAAATCGTGTTTAATTATTAGTTGTTACGTTGAATGGATTAAAGGGAAAGATTAGGAATTTTCCTCAGAACTTTTAACCATTATGAAAAGGATTTTCAGGGTTTTACCTGTTAACCTTCACATATCTTGTACAAATATGTTGTCCATCTTTGTATTACAGCTTGAGAAATTAAAGATAAGGTTATATTATTCTAGTCAGCATGAAGTGGCAAGTAAACTTCTCAATCTTACAGAAGGTAATTTGAGACTTAAACAGCTCAGCTAGTACAATGATTGTCTAAAGTTTAAAATCAATTGTCTTCAACCAACTTGTATTATATTAAATAGTTCTTTTCATAAAATATTCGTGAATTTACATTGTATGCTGAGTACTAAATAGAAATAGACTTACTATAAACAATTTTGTAATTATTTTAGAATACTGGTTATGGAGCACAAGGTGGAGGACAACAGCTAGCATCTCCAGGTAGTTGTTTACCACAGTTCCGATCTCATATGTTTATTGAATGTACTGCTAAAGGTTTATGTGGATTTTTTGAAGAACATAAAAATTTCTGGTTACGTGTTATGCCTAGTTCTATGGATGAGCATATGTTTGGCATGGTAATGGGCACTGTAATCAAAGTACGTAATAGTCAAGATTCAGTTGGTAAATGTGCTGTATGTATGAGAACACAACCATTGTCAACATTATTTTATTTAAATTAATCATGCTTTTAATTTCATTGTTTAAGCATTACACATAATAATACTTTCTCTTTCTTCTGTTTATTAAAACAAAACAAATTATTGTCAGAATTTTTAAATTTAAAATAACTATGTTATTTTATTTTTTGAGAAAAAAAAGTTTCCAAAATGTATTTATTATCATGTTGGGATAAATTTTGTTTGGCTTATTTATAACAATTAAAAGTTCCAAGATCTAAGATAATAAAACCAAAGATAGTTACATCATTTAAAACAACTATTTCTGCTTTGAATACATACGCATAAAGTAAAGTTTCATTGGACATTGAAAAGTTAAATGGCGTTTTTTAAATGATCCAAACTAAATCTCAATAAATGCAAGATTATTTTACATCTATTCTAAAAGAGGTTTTTATCAATACACAATATAATATTATGTTGAAAACTTTTTTTTAAAAAAGCAAACTACTTCATAATTTACCCAAATACCAATTTAAAAAATAGCAATTTTTTAAATTTAACTTTATTCTAAATATATACATATTCACTGATTTTATTATAATAATTACTACAGTTAAAGGTTTTGCTAACTGTTAACTGAGTGTTCAATATGCCCACCCCTCAAGTCAGTCAATGAAAGAAATAAACATTAAGGGGGTCTTGCATATTCATACTATAACATATTTGTGTTAGGCTGCTTTTGAATATATTTCTTCAAATATTTAGGACTTTATTGGATTGACGGATCTTTTTTTTGAGCACAAATATACGTGTTAACCATTGCTTCTTTATTAAAAAAACTTTTATTTTTCAGTGTTAGCCTTAACAAGAAGATATAAATATTGTAAAATTTTGACAATCTAGTGTTTTTGTCATTTATTTAATGTTTCTGTTCTTTTCTAGTCTGAAATTGTTCTTTTTTTCAAAATGTTAAAACATAAATAATAAATTTGATGACCTAATTTTAATGATTTTCTTTACTGGCATTGATAACTCGGTGCATAGTATTGATGCTGGGTAACCAACGAGCCAATTATTTTGTCAAAGGGCCACATAAACCCAGTTGTGGAGCACTTTAACATACAAAAACGTTTAAATCCTAAGTAAAATACTGTAATATATATCACCTATCAATGAAACTAATGTTTACTCAAAAAATTATCAGGATAATCTCTGTTACTACATCAGTAAGATAAGTGCAAATATACATTGTTTCATAACTAGTACGCGATGATCGGGAATCATTTCACTTGTCGTAATACATAAACCTTTCTCAACATTTGCGTCTGTTTGCTAATATATGAATTCGCAACTGTTGAATTTTGTACATGACAACCTGTTAGTGATTACGGGTTGACCGAGAAAGGTAGATATTTGTGGGGAGTTTGAACTCTATTCATGTTATTATACTAGTGATGAGTTCGTTTATGCTGTTGTCAACTTCGAGGTGTGTTAGTTGCATGTGGAGATCACAATTAACTGTCTCAGTGAAGCGGTTGGAAAATTGTTGTAAGATGTGAACTCTTTGAGATGTTTGGAACGTCATTAGAATTTATTTTGGAGCATCAAAATTTGTTGACTATATTCCTGATCAGACTGTGAAGAGATAGTTTGTGTGTCTAGTGTGTTGGAAAATGACCGTAGTTCTTTAGATTTGTCAGGTAAAAACTGAGTATGATTTCAAACGCTTTAATTTCTGCGTACAGTTTATCTGTAAACACACCCTGCAATTTCCTATTGAGGTAATTTAGTATGCCGAAAATATTAGCAGCAAATCAGAATACCATCACGTTGTTTTTATCTTATTAATAATAATCCTGCGTAGAATGTTTTCGATTTCAAGGAATACCACAATTTCTCTCCGATATCCCAAACTCTTTCCAGTAAGTTTCAAAAGTATAGGCAAAAAACTTCAGTACGATAAAGTGCATCAGAGTATTTTGTTTCAGTAGTTCTGTGGAGGGTTTTGAATTTTCATACGGGTGTTATTTTTGCCTATTTCTGATCAATTGAGCAGTAAATCCCAGCTTTAAATATCAATCGTCACTTGTTACATAATCTCCTACACTAGCTGTAATAAAATTACTTGATTCCGTCACAGTTTTACATAAACAGATAATAAACTAGTGAATGTTTTATTTGTTGACAAAACCATCGGTTTCAATTATTCACTTTTAAAATGAGCTACTTATACAAAGTAAATTCCTCATTAATCATTGTTATCTGAATATATGCTATGCAAGACTTCGCAGATGACCTAGCCATCCTATCCTATAGGATAGGATACACACGAACAAATGCAGATGATGACACCTAGTGTAGCAGCAGCCTCTGCATCAATAGGCCTCAACATACACAAAGGGAAAATAGAAATCCCCAAATGCAACACGGCGAACACATTACGCCGGGAAATAGAAGCAGATATGAAAAGAATGAACACCAACTAGAAAGGATTTCCCATGACAGGGTTGGATGGAGAACGCTGGCAGGCGGGTGGGGTAACAGACGTAAATAAGTAAGACTAGAAGATTAAGAACACTTCTAATAATGAACAAAGAAATATAGCTATAACTGAAGCCGAATTCTTTTTTTGATTCACCTCTATCAAATAATAATCCACTTATCCTTGTTGAGTTATTTAGACCAGCAACCATATTGTAACTCAATCAATCAGTACAAAAGTACTAGACAAACAAGACATTGGTCATTGTTCAGTGATCAATCAATTACAACAGAGCATTATACAAACAAACTCTTACTTCAGCTACTTTTATTTTTGTTACAAACAAGGAAATGAATTAGCAGTCTAAAACAAGGAACGGAAAAATAAGAGTCTGCACTGCAAGTTATTACAGGATTTAGTGATAGTAACGATCAATAATAACGATAATAATATTCAAATAACAAAAGCCGGGGGTAAAACAGGATTAAACTAATCATTTTGATTTAAACAATTTACTGTTGTCTAAAACAATTAGTTCCTTTGATAAATTTGGATAATGCGATAAGAAGACGAAGGTTATTAGAATTATGTGATCTCTTTGTGCAATACATTTTGGATAATCTGATCACATATGTACGTAAAAACGATGTATTGTGTAAGTATATCACATAATTCTGATAACCATCTTTTTATCGCACTATCCAAATTTACCATTGTCTCTCGTTTTTATGGTAGAGTATTATTCAAAATTGATTAAGAAAAGGATTTAAACTTTAAATCCACTCAGTATAATGATTAGTTTATATGCATTGTGTGTGCTTTATTTAAAGATGACAAGATAGATGTGTTCATTTTCCTCAAAGGTTTGTTCTGAAATGATAAATGTTATTTATATGAAAGAACAGAAGATAGGGAAGGCCTCGCATATACGAACATAATCGTATGAGAAAAATAATAACCATAAAAGAATCGGTGTGTACAAAGTATCTGTTAGGAAAACAACATGAGTGAATATAAGAAGATCAGAAAATTATCAGAAGTGTTTTGGGAGGGAGGGGAAAGAGGGATGAATTACCCATACACGCGCATCTACACCTGGATAATTACTATACACGTTTATAAAACTGCAAAGCAGGTATAAGGTAACCAAAGAAAATCACATAGTTGGTAGCGATAGAAGTAGTAATAATAGTACTACGCAAACGTGTATACATATAAAATCGTTTTATTTTTTATCTGTTTTGCAATGTAGATTGATATAAGTAGGTGAGAAAGGATTGAGAAGCATATATTTCGAATAAAACTATGCATTTCCAACTTCTTGTAGTAATGATTCTTTATCTTGACTTTTTGGATAAGTTTTCATGGGAATATTTGATTTACGCTTCGACTGGGATCTTTGTACTCGTGTCACTCCATCTGTTAAACCAGACTGAGACCATCTATGGAAGTAAGAGGGAAAACAGTGAAACATAATTATGGGATTGCATGCACAATTAATTATTTTAAACAAAACAAGTCAAGTGCATTTTCTTCTTATTTACAAAGCTATTCACTTTTATTCATTTCACCAACAACAAGTTTGATTGACAATCGTCTAAATATAACAACAAACCGATATAACAAGTATTGGTTAAGAACTCTATATCAGTGAAATTTAATGGCATAATTAATTAAAATATATCAAGTATTACACCCGGGTAGTATTTCAGTCTTCACACAATCCGAATGACGAAGTGTGGTGTATATGTACTTGGTGCCTCATTGTACCAGTGTTTGTGTGTCTAAATAAATAAAGTACTGTACTACTACTGTAGCGAACGAGAACACAAATGGGGACAATCGAATGTATTTGAACACAAAATTACAGAATGTCTTACTAAAATCTGAGAACCATACAGTAAATGCTTAATTTTCAAAATGTTAACCAATTCTCTCAAACTTGATCGTTTCTTTTGCAAATATCAGTCAATCGTCTCAGACTTCATTGTTTCTGCTTTTTTATACCAAATGCTTTCTGTTTCCGTTCTTTCCTTCTCGACCTTCTGGTGCCAGACATTCTAATTTTGACTACTTTTATATATTACTCATGCCGATACAAGTAGCACACACCACATTACCAGTGAATAATATATGTCATATAAACGGATTCTAGTTAAAGAGAAAAACCACACTGAAAACAATTTTCATAACTCATAAACAACGATGTTTGTTAAAAGATGAAACACTTTTATTTTCTACCTGCTGTTAACTCGACGTGATAGTCGGAGTTGCCTATTGTGATGACCCGAAAGAAGTATACTGGCTGGGTACTTGTTTCCTTAAGTACTTATCATGCTATGTAGGTAAGTTAGAGAACAACAAGATTGAAAGCAACAAATTAAAGCCTGAGAGTTAAGTCTCACTTTAGACTATACTGAAGTTTGATGGCAGTTAGACATTTCCGTTAGACGTTTAGTAAATACTGCAGTGGTGCATTCCTATAATAGAAGGAAGAGGTTAGAAAAAATCGACCATAAAATGACAAACTTCACAAAAGTTCACGGATTCCTATCGCTGGCGGCAAAACATTCCAGATGCTAAGCTAACACGCCAAGACGTACCGGCAAATAGATCATGTGTGACATGCAACGGCAGTGGAAAAAGCTGCAACAAAAAGAAGTATCAAACAACTATATGACACAACGAAGAAACTGGTAGGTAAGTATAGTAAACCAGAGAGACCGGTCAAGGACAAAGAAGGCAAGCCAATCACTGAGATTCAAGAACAGAGAAACACATGGGTAGGATACTTCGAGGAACTCTTCAATAGACCAGCTCCACTGAATCCACCGGACAACCAAACAGCATCTGCAGACCTTCCTATATCTGTCACTCCACCAACGATCAAGGGAATCAGGATGGCCGGTCATCAGATAAATCAAGAGTGGAGAAGCAACAGGAACTGACAACATAACCAGGTGGAACACTGAAGTCAGACATAGAAGTAACTTCCAGCATGCTTCACACTCTATTCTGGAAGATTTGGAAGGAAGAACAAATGCCACTGACAGACTGGAAAGAAGCATATCTCATCAAGACACCAAAGGAAGATCTGAGAAAATGTGATAACTACAGAGTTATCAAACTATCATCAGTACCAGGAAAAGTTTTCAACAGTGTTGATGAACCGGACGACTGATTCAGTAGACACACAACTACAAGATCAACAGATAGGATTCTGTAACGATCGGTTGTGCGCAGACCAAATCGAGACGCTACAGATCATCGTTAAATAATCGATTGGATGGAAGTCGTCATTATACATTAACTTCCCTGATTATAAGAAGGCATTTGACAGTGTGGATAGGAGAATATTATGGAACATTCTTCGACGCTATAGTGTAAATACCTGAGGAGATCGTCAACGTCATCCGGAATTCATAAGACGGACTACAGTGCAAAGTTGTGCATCGAAGACAGCTGACAGATACATTCAAAGTGAAGACCGCAGTCAGACAAGGCTGCTTATACTCTCCCATTCTTTTTCCTCTGGTAGTTGACTGAATTATGAAGACCTTCACATCTCAGTGGAATACAATGAACAGCTTGCATGCAACTAGACGATTTGAACCTCATGGATGAACTAGCCATTCTGTCCCATGCACACCAACAAATGCAGATGAAGACAAGTAGTATATAAAAAGCCTCTGTATCACTAGGCATCAACATACACAAGGGAAAAAGCAGGATCCCCAAATACAACACGCAGAACACTAACCCAATCACACTTCATGGACAAACTCTGAGATAGGTGGAAAATTTCACGTATCTGGATAGCATCATCGATGAACGTGGGGGATCTGTTGCAGATGTAAAGGTAGTGATTGGCAAAGCAAGGACAACATTCCTACAATTGAAGAACATATGGAACTCAAAACAACTGTCAACCAACATCAAAATCAGAATATTCAATACTAACGTCAAGACAGTTCTACTTTACAGAGCTGAAATTTGGAGAACTACTATCACCGTCATCAAAAACGTACAAATATTTATAAACGATTGTCTACACAAGATACTCAAAGTCTGTATACCAGATACCATCAGCAACAGTCTACTGTAGGAGAGAAAGAAACCATCTTCCAACTGAAGAGGAGATTAGGAAAATACACTAGAAGTGGATAGGACATACATTGAGGAAATCACCAAACTGCATCATGAGACATGCTTTAACTTGGAATCCTGAAGGGAAAAGAAAAAGAGGAAGGCCAAAGAGCACATTGAGCTAGGAATTGGAAGCAGACATGAAAAGAATGAGTGGTAACTGTTCCTGCCGTCTAGATATTTCAACAACTTATCTAATTCTGTTTGTTTTAATACATAATTATAGCTATTAATCGCATAACCTATTCAGATGCGTTTCTGAAACGTGTTCAACCTTTCGTTGTGCAAGTTACAAAAGGCTCAATCAGAAATATCGTGGTCGCTGGCAATATACAGCGAAAAGAGTTTAAATTATTTAGATGTCGATTTGTTGGACTGCTAACTTTTAACTGGTGATCACACAATATTTATCGTCAGAATCGACCAAGAAGTAAGAAACGGGAACTTGTTGAAATCCTTTGTGCTGAGATTTCTATATTGTACTAGAAATATAATATTGAATAAAGCTAATAATAATAAAACAAGTGGGAAGGATTGTCCAGGACTTTAAGTGGGAGAATTGTAATTCTGAAAGCGAACGAACAGAATTGGAGATGAAAAAGTTCAGAGTCATAAAATTGTGTACACGATCCAAAATAATACAACTTACATATCTTCCATTTGCATACGTTCCATCACAGTATCTTCGTCTTCATCTTCATCAGAAACAAGCAAATAAGGATTATCATTAACTGGACGAAATTCATAACCAACTGAGATAAAGAAAATGAAAGTCACCGTTTCCTTGAATAATTCCACAAGCCATGAATACGAATAGACTACAGTGATTGTCATCAGGTAGACAATGACACGTGTAAAATACACGTAACAAATAACCTGTGGAATGAGAAACAGTAGGATATTAAAGATACTACTAATGGAAAAATTACATCTCAATTGTATGCAAAACAATTGAATAAAAAACAATACTAATCAAGAGTTTAAGGGTTTTTTTTGAGAGCTGTAAAGTGAAATTCCACACAATTTTATTACTTAAAATTCATTCCCCAGGTAATAAATTGTCTTACCCATGGATTAATAAACTGTTAATAGTGTAAACTATTCTTCTTAATGCTAAAAGGTGTTGTATTTCGACAAATGAAGACTCATCAGATAGAGACTTGCAGTTTAATGTAGATGAATATTTATGATAACATATTACCCGATTGTAGCCAATACCATGTTTCTACTACTTGCTGCTGACCAAATCCAATGGACCAATTTAGCGAAATATCCACGAAAAATTCCTGGACAAAGAAATTTACGCTACTGAATCTTACCTTTGGTAGTTGAGGGCAAACCGTAAGCAAATAAGGACAAAGCATGCAAAATAATATAAGCGTAGATACTAATGTAAAACTCCTGTAAAACGGTGGTATTTAGATAGTAGAATTGTAACAGTGAACACTACTACATCTTTATAAAAGAAGCTAATCTCTAAGTCAAGAATAAAGAACATATGTACTGGGAGTAGAGAAGGCTAAAGCTTTTCGAAAATTTGTACAACCATGATGTTTAATTCATACGAGTGTGCATAGAACCGTATTTGGAACACTGACAGATTAACACGTGTAACAATTAGATCAATGTCCAACACTCAATGCCATTACGCACCACATAGTAAATTTCATAGCTTAAATGGTCGAAAACAGTTTTATTTGCTTGAATTTCTATGTGTGATATTTAATTATTGATCAACCATGGCATAAAATGAAGCAGATGGGGCGAAATTCGAGAATCCAAATCAATGACTAGGAATCGAGTATTTTAACTATTAACAATTTTAACAATCACTCGGTACTCACCATAGCTCAAATACATACAGTATTCTACGATAATGAGTTTAAGTATACAATCTTACTGTACACTAAAATCATAAAACATTAATATGATATAAATAAAACTAATAATTTTAGAAACGACAAAAATTTTAAGTGACGAATGCATTTTCAAATCCCATGTTATAGAAATCGATGGTCAGTTGAGGATTCGATTAAATTTAATGCTAAGTATGAATTCTCAACAATCATATTAATTTTAATGAAACTGACATTTATAAATATGGTTTCTTTTTACAATAATAAAAAAAATAATATTTAGAATCTTAACAAGTATGTGAAATTTGCAATTTAAACATTTCATGACTGTAAGTGATCAGAAATTCGAATTTACCAGAATGTAGAAATGACGGAATAACCGCAGATTACGCAGATTTATAGCTGCTTTACCATCCGTTTGAGAAGCTGCTTTTAAAAGTTTAATAGACCAAACAACAGGGAATAAAATTGCTCCACAACATGCTAAATCGACAAAAATGAAAATCTCTTTCCATGTAGCATAACGAGCCGCACCGGCTTCAGACTCTTCAATAATTATAGTAGCAATATTGGCTAAAACCTATGCAAAAGGATAAAGATAATGAAGGAATAAACAGACATGAATGAGAAATTTTTAAGAGGTCAGTACATTGGAAAAGACAGGAAACATCCGATTGTCAGGCTAAACAAAAAATATATATTAAATGAAGTATGATTTTCGAATGACCATTTAGAGTCAGAAACTGGTTGATTATCACTGAGATTTTTCTGAGATAGTCTACAGGGATCAAACGGTTTTGAGAACACATGCCAACGAAATCAGCTAAAAATATGTGTTATAGCGGGGTAGAAGTGATGTAACTTAAACATACTTTAAAAGAAACATGATGCTTTACATTAAAATATCATAAAATGTCATTTGAAATCAATCAATATCTCCTGTCTAAGTGACGCCAGGACATTAACCGGCCTCACTTCCCAACACTAGATACACAAACTATCTCTTCACAGTCTGATCAGGAATATAGTCAACAAATTTTGATGCTCCAAAATAAATTCTAATGACGTTCCAAACATCTCAAAGAGTTCACATCTTACAACAATTTTCCAACCGCTTCACTGAGACAGTTAATTGTGATCTCCACATGCAACTAACACACCTCGAAGTTGACAACAGCATAAACGAACTCATCACTAGTATAATAACATGAATAGAGTTCAAACTCCCCACAAATATCTACCTTTCTCGGTCAACCCGTAATCACTAACAGGTTGTCATGTACAAAATTCAACAGTTGCGAATTCATATATTAGCAAACAGACGCAAATGTTGAGAAAGGTTTATGCATTACGACAAGTGAAATGATTCCCGATCATCGCGTACTAGTTATGAAACAATGTATATTTGCATTTATCTTACTGATATAGTAACAGAGATTATCCTGGTAATTTTTTGAGTAAACATTAGTTTCATTGATAGGTGATATATATTACAGTATTCTAGATAAGATTTAGGTTTTATATACGAACATATGGCCGAAATCGCTATTATCATTCATACGGTTATCTAATAAAAACCCTTCCCAAATATGAGGTTAGTGGATAAATCAGTAACATTAACGTGTCCCGTAGTGTGAAATAATCCAGTTCAATTAAACATAGTTAAAATGTTTAAAGATCCTAGTAAGAAAGTAAGCATTCTATGCTATGATTGAAAAATTTCAATACTCTTATAATTAGATAAACAAAAGCAGTGACTCATATTTTTTTCATAATTCAAATGTTCATTTTCCATTAGTTGATTTCATAGAGTTTAATTAGCTGATTTCTTATAAACATAAACCAACAAATTACGAAAAGTGTTTAAATTAAACTGACAGTTATTACTTTAATGGCATAATTAATGTAAATACTTAATCATCCATAGATTTCTTTCTTGAACACCTCACACTTTTTTTCCTTATGTCTATCATCTAGGTTAATAACACTTTACAAATACGATAACTATTAATTCAATAACAAGAAAACCAATTTTCTATATTAGTATAAGGAGTTTGTCGTGATTGTTGAATTCCATTGTTTACACCATCAACTGATTTAAGTTAGACAACCTTTGAAAACCAGAAAGCACTACGCAGCTATTCCATACAAGTACGAGACTAATCAGTGAACATCAAAGACAAAGGCAGGGACTAAACTCAGGACCTTCAGCTACTGTGACGAGCACTTAACGTTTAGATCAATGGGTCAGCATTCAATGGTTTACATTTCTAACTTGAATCACTTTGCGACCGTCCTTGGTGGGGTCACAAATGAACACTGTTGAGGAGACCCGAACTACAACAAAACGACTGTTCGGTATTTTCTGTTTTTCAATGGTTATTAAACTAAGGTCGGTTCGTGGTACAAACTACAAAATTCAGAAATCTTTACGAGCTCCTCGCACTAATATTAATCATGTACTCACTAGTAACTAATTTGAAGTTCTAGTAAGAAATCGTGATTAACAGTGTTCAATTATGTTATATATGATTCAAACACCCACTAATTGTATTAAAAAAATAGTTGGGCAACATTTCTGATTTTCAACAGTTGACTTAAATCTCAATAAACTTAAATTGATCTATACAATGATTTTTTCATTATTAGTAAAAACACTAAAATAAAACTTACATATGTACCTAGATATTCTACTACACAATAACAAGCACATTTGTATAAGCAAGAAACGTTTAGCAACAACAAATTTTCTTAGACACTAATTATAAAAGTGTTTGAAATAATAATGAAATGAATAATAACATCTTAAAATACTAGCTAATACAGAGAGGCAGTCACAGATAGGTTTATTTACCACTCACTATGGGAGCTGATGCTGTCAAATGACTCCTAATCTTGAAGGATGAAAGAAGGCTCTTACACATAAAAAGATGCTTGCAGGTTTGTGTTCGAAACGGTGAGACAGGCGTCTTGATTGAAATCAATTAGGGCCATATAACAAACACTTGATGAGTATTGTGTTGCACTTCCTCATGATGATATATTACCTTAGAGTATACGAAAGCGAATCGATGAACTATTACATTCACACAAGAGAACTAAGCGTAATTTGTTAATAATGAAAATGCGGAGATAAATTTTATGCTACGTACATGTGTAAAAAATGATTCCTCTCGAAAATTATTTCACAAGAACAAACTCACTTGAAGAGGTACTACAATCAGGAACACGTTACGTTCACGCGGTGTTAACATATGTTTGATAAAGGCCCAACCAGCACCAATCAGTAATATAGTGATAAATAGAAGTGCACCTCGAATACTAAAATTAGAAGAAACAACAACAACCGATAACTACGATAACTTAAAGATCAGCAAAAAAGAGAAATATACAGTATTAGTTAAAATACGTTGAAAACGGATAAGAAGATCATATGAATATATATGATCATATAATGTCAACCAATAATTCAAGATGCTTCAATGTATTTATATGAATAGATTTGAGTTGAGTCACTTTACATTGTACGATATCTGATTAATTTTTAAGGAATGTACTACACAACAATTAGTATCCACAGCTTTTCCAAACTTATCTTCTGTTTGTATTCCACGATAAATACTAACGATTTAAAATATAATTTTACAATTCTACTTGCCTATATAGTGTAAAATGACTACGTCGGACGGAGTTCAGGAAGGGTGTATTCTCCCTTCAGAAGACCTAATGCTTTATCCATTTAACTTATGAAATATCAGTGTATGATATTGACTCATGAAATAAGTAACCACTAACTTTAATCACGCAGAGAAGTGCAGGGTTTTTGGTTGTTGTTTGTGAGGTAATTTGAACTGATGCTTGGAATGTTTAAGTGATGTTTTCTTAAAGTTTGTTTAGTGGGAGTAGATGTATTCATTCTTTGTGTTTTCTTTTGATGTCCTACACTGTTACCCTATACATTTTATTGACCAAAAAACGCTCGCCTCTCTTTTTTTCTTATATTGTTTTCGTTACTCATTTAGCTAACTTCCTCTCCTGATGTAGTATGGCAAGTGTCCCAGGTTCAACATTCTTTGTACGTATTTACATCTTGGACAAGCAATTTACTCATTTTCTTTGATACTTTCACTTCGGTACTGCTAAAATCATTTAATTAATTTTTTTTTAAATTTAAGCGTTGTTTTAATCTGCTTTTCGTTCTGTTGATCTGAATCGCTATAACCGGGATTGATCCACAATTGTATTAAGTCTGGTCGATACTCTGTTCTCGATTTTTGCCATCTTTTTACAGTTAGACCTATCACAATCAGTTGATAAAAAGTCAGGTAAACAAAACAAATTCACCCTACTTTAAAGATCATTGTTGATCCATGTTACGCAAATTGATCAATGAATTCAATAAATGCAACCAGGATTCTGTTACTCAAACATGAATACTCTTGTTATGGCGTTTTTCTTATTCAATATAAGAAAATATACAATTTAAATAATAACTTATTTTTCCGGTAAAATTATACAAAACATCAAGAAAAACGTCTTTAAAAGTGGTAATATTTCATCAATGAAATTTGTTTGTAGTTTTTTTTCCTAAAAAGGTCTATATGTTGATAGTGTAGGAATTAAATGACTATAGCTTAAGTTTTGGCTAACTACTGAATAAAAATGAAATGAAATGGACAACCGTTTTCTAAAGATAATTCTGGTTGTTGTAATACTATTGCTACTGCTGATAAGAATAAGATTAATATAAGCCATAGGCTAACTAGAGTGTTTTTTTCTAAAGTACGGTATGAGTTGAGGGAAATGGTCTTTGTATTACGCGAATATCATATTATTCTTACAGATCAGTCTGGACTATAACAAAGAACAATTTAAGATACATTTATTATAAAAAATATAGAATAACTTTCTACAATCCACACTCTATTTTATAATATAAAGAATGAAACATTGTTGTGTTACATTCTTTTATTGAATTAAAAAATTCAAAATATTTTCTAATAGATTAATTTACTGTAAATTCTAATATCGAACAAAATAAGTTCGATAGGTAAGACTACAAATTCAACAATCTCCACAACTCCGTATATGATATGCTTGATGCTATTACGAGTTCATCTTGCTCGGTAAACGGAATGAAGGTCAATGACACAGTGATACGATAGGCTATTCTAAACCACTGTCGCCGGCCCTGCTATTTTTTATATTTATTTATTTATTTAAACACATATATATTGGTACAAAAGGGCACCAGGTACATATGCGCCACACAAAATAATGAAAGTAGGAAGAGAAGGGATGAAAAGATAAGGCGGACTAAAATGTACAACCAGAAGACTCTTTCAGTTAAGAAAGTTAGAACCATTCTTTATGTAGAAAGTAAAAGAAGGTTGCAGCAGGATCGCCACTGGCTTCTATTCTGAGCCATATCTGATAACGTCTCTAGCCACTGTGTTGCACCATCTCTCGGACCCCAGCCAGGGAGTCGTGAAGGACCAACAGAAGCTAGCCCTTTGCAGCTCTCTTTCATGTCACGACACCATGTCATACACTGACCTCCTCTCCGCTTTTTCCAACCAGTCCTAGGGTCGGCAAATAATGCACGACGTGGAAGTCTCTGGGACGACATTCGTAAAACATGTCCAAGCCACCGAAGTCGGTGTTTCAAGATGGTGACACCAATTGAATTATCGTCTCTGTGCCCGAACACACGATGCCGAACCTCTGCATTACTAACATGGTGTTGCCACTGGATGTCAGCAATCCTTCGGAGACAACGATGATCGAACACAGAGAGACGTCTAACACCCTCAACTCGGAGAGGCCAGGTTTCACAAGCATAGAGCAAAACTGCTCTCACCGACGCGTTGTAAATCCGACCTTTTACAGCCAGACTAACATCACGAAGGCGCCAAAGATGGCCCAGATTGGCATAAGCCGATCTGGCTTTCCATATACGTGCATCAATCTCATCACTCACGCCACCACCAGCACTTATATAGCTACCTAGATACACGAACTTCTCAACTACTTCGATCTGCTCACCATCCAGGGTGAGTACAGGATTAGAATCCTGCCAGTCTTGTAGAAGTACTTTGCACTTGGAGGGTGCAAAGCACATGCCGTACCTGCGGACACTGATTGCCAACTGATTAAGTGCTGATTGCATGCCTTGGGCATTATCGCACAGTAAGACAATATCATCCGCATACTCAAGGTCGAGAAGTCGTTCTCCAGGCAACATATTCACACCGCCATTACTTACATCCACCAGAGCTGTTTCTAGGATGTCGTCGATGGCAAAGTTGAAGAGGAATGGTGAGATCGGGCAACCCTGCCTAACCCCACTGCTCGAATGGAACAAGGGAGAAAGGTGGTTGTATGCCCTCACTCTGCCTGAGGTGTTCGTATACAGGGCCTTTAAGATGTTAATGAACCTCTCAGGCACACCCTTCTTCAATAGACAATCCCAGAGAACAGTCCTGTCCAACGAATCGAAGGCAGCCCTGATATCAAGAAACACTACGATTGTTGGCCTGCGATAAGTATGACGGTGTTCTAACATTTGGCGGAGGGTGAAGATGTGATCAATGCATCCTCGACCAGAACGAAAACCAGCCTGCTCCTCGCGAGTCAATCGTTTTCGGGTTTTAAACAACCTACGAAGAATGATAGAAGCCAATAGTTTGGACGCAATCGGAAGTAGACTTATCCCCCGATAGTTATTGCAGGAACAACGCGAACCCTTTTTAAAGATAGGGACGACTATTGACTCATTCCATGATGTTGGAACACTTTCTTGCTCCCAAACCTTTCCAAACAACACAGTCAATTCCTTAGTCAGAAAGTCGCCACCATCTTTAAAAAGAGCCAGAGGTAAGTCATCTGGGCCAGGTGATTTGTAGCGCTTCAGGAGTTGGAGTTCCTTGCGGACTTCCGCCTCGTTTGGTGGAACAGTCGTCACCGGCCATGGGGGGCAGGACAAGCTGGTTGATGTTGCCGGAGCAGCAGGCCAGTTGAACTGCCCTTCGAAAAATTCCGCCCATCGTCCAAGACGTCGGGAGATGTTAGTGATTGGCATCCCATCATCCTCGTAGATTGTTTCACTCACACCAGACTTCTTGCTGCCAGTGGCTCGGATGAGTTGGAAGAGCTTCCGGCAGTTACCAGATGCAGCTGCTGCTTCCATCTCATTAGCACGCTCCGACCACCAGGCTTCTCGGTCCTTACGCAAGCTTTGCCCAATTTCATTACGTAACAGCCTTCGTTTGTGGTCAAACTCACGGTCACCCGGAGTAGACCGACGGGCTTCGATCAGTTGTAAGGAGCCAGAAGAGACCCAGTGCTTGTAAGCGGGACGTTTCGCGAAGCCGCAAGCGGCTTTACTCGCCATTTTCATGGCGTCGTGAAGATGCAACCAATGCTCATCTATACTTTTCGGTGGGATGGTAGCTAGCCTAGAGGCTAGCTCCGCTCGATACTTACTTGCAACAGGAGTTGCAGCCAGTTTACTAACATCGATCCGTTGGTGGTGGTCAATCCTTCGGCCACTGAAAAGTAAGGTGAGATTGGCGCAGACCAGGGCATGATCAAACTCCAGATAGGTACTCCAAAAGGAGCGGCAGTTTTGTACACAACCACGCCAGCGGTAGCTGATCGCGATGTGATCAATCTGAGTCCAGGCTTGGGATGCAGAGGGAGGACGCCAGGTGGCACACCGGCGATGACTGTGCCGGAAGTTAGTGCTGGCCAGAAACAGGTTGTGGTCTGTGCACAGTTGCAGCAAACGGTCCCCGTTATCTGTCCTGCGACCAACAAGTCCCCATCGGCCACCTAGACGACTCTCTTCTGTGCCTAGACGCCCGACCTGTGCATTCAAGTCTCCGGCTAGTACTACAATATCTGTCGAACGCGCTTTCTGGAGAAGAACTGTTAACTGATGGTAAAACTCATCCTTGATTGCATCCGGGCTGCAATCTGTCGGGGCATAGGCGGAGATGACGAAAAGACACCGTTTCTCACGCCGGTTTCTTCTCACTTTGATGGAACTTTCTAATCTAACAGCACATAACCGACTGTTAATGGGGATCCAATCGATTAGTGTTGCCTCAGCCCTAGCGCTTAGTGCGACGCCAACGCCAGCAAGACCAGACGAAGATGCCACAGGGTCCCCGGATAAGCGCACGTGGAACAAGCTTTTCGAGGCGACAGATGGAGAGCGGATTTGTAGTACTTCACTAGAGTCTTGAATACGGGTCTCGGATAGACAACAAACGTCAACATTAAGACCTTCCAAAGACATAGCCAGCCCTATCTGTTGTCTGATCTGCATTAGTGTGCGAACGTTGAAGGAAGCCAGCTTGAACGGCGTACGTGGTTTCAGAAAGACTGCCTCAGTATTCATAATCGGTGGAAGCATTCACTTTCAACCAGACAGTGACTGGAGATCGTTTAGATAGGACAGATTTTCCACCAAGAGCGAGCTGCTGCATAAGTTGAAGAGTAAGGTTACACAAATTGGGGATAAAAGGGGGTGAATTAGCGATATGGTAAGTAGTAATAATAATAATAATAATAATAATAATAATAATAATAATGTAAATTGTCTTGCTTATAATATGAGCAGGAATAGAATCGTCAACAGAGTTCATCATTTCATTCATTTGTGTGTGGGCTGTGATACTGCCCGGGTGCCCAAACCGAAGCAGGTGGTTTTCTTAGGGGACCACACCCCGAGCCTTTGACCTAAAGGTCTGATCCACAAGGCAGTGGAGCATCGTGAGGAGATGCAGTCCCATGGTAGCCGTTGACCAATGACAGGTTCTTCCGCCATTCGTTCCATCAGGATACTGGAGCCCATGTGCACCATTGGTTTGGAATCAGGGTTTTCCAACTCCCCTAGGTGGACCCTCCGTGGCCACCAATCCGGTTATAGCGCCGGACATTCGCATTTCGTCCTTTCACTTTCGTAAACAACACCCCCACCACGAGAAGGCAGTGAGTAGGACTTCCCTGGCAGAGGCTATATATTCGCTGGCCATATGAGAGCATTTCGAGAGGGAGAGTAGACTCTCCCCACTCTCGGCCGTACCAGGGCATTTGGGGGCCCTGCTAACTAGATCAAGAAGTTTTGATGAGGCGTAGAGAATGTATTCTACAATCACCGTATACTGAATTCGTATACTGAATCTTTTTCACTGTTTATTACAGAAACTTATCTATACTTCAGAAGTAAGTCAATTCAAGATAATGAAAATGCCATGCTGATGGGTGTAAACTTCTGCGAAACATATGTATACGGTTTTATTGCAATTGTTTGTAATCACATGACATCAAAACAAAGTGAATCGCGATGTCAATTCAGTTATTTTAGCAGTCATATTACAAATTGATCAACAGGAAGCTATGAAAAATAAAGATCAGACCAAGTGACATTTGTTATTATTAAGTGACCCATGAGTGTCAGTATTACAGCCATAGAATAGATGAGTTGCGGTAGTGTGATGCGAGTTCAAGTCCCACAAAAAGTATCAGGATTACAGAAACCCTTCGATGACGAATTCTAACCAACAAAATACTCACTGCTCAGAACAATTTTACTTAATGCCTTGTAAATCAGAACTGCTGCATGATAGCTGTAAATACCGGCAAACCAATAATCACAACAGACAAAATAGGATCAGTCAACTTTTAGTTAAATGAGTGACTAATAGTAGATCACTAAAGTTACCAATAACTGCTTGGAATAACTTCTATAGTGTCAAAGAAAACATTTTGTTTTAAGGGAAACAAAAAAATATTTCTGAAAAGATTTTGCACTAGTAATACAAATTATTACACAGAAAAAAACACATACATATGAGTAATATAATACATAACAGCCCAACTTTCTTCATGAGCACCATGTTTCCCAATCACATAATAATTTACCTAAAATTAAATTAATGAAACACAACAATAATAACATTTCATTATCACTTACATATAAAGCAATAACAAATAATCATTTTCTAAAAAGTGTTAAACAGTGATAAAATAGATTGTCATTGATGAAAAGAATTTTTCATATTCATTTGATAGATCTATAAATCCCTAACAAGTAGGAAAAAAGAGAATGTTACATGTGTTGTCGGAGTTCGACTTCCAACTGGTAGGTGTCAGGTCTGAATCCTCTTCAACTTACCTCAGTATGGGTAGCCAGCAAGTAGATAAAGTAGTTTCCAACCTTGCAACAGTACCTCTTCAGATTGATTACAGTTGTTCTTACTAACATCAAACTAATGTGCTAAACAGAACACGTGTTTTTCCATAGTGACACTACACAATGCGTGAGAACAAGATAATGGATCCTCCGCCTAGCCAAAAGACAACCTCCAATACAGCCTACATATCAATATGCAAAAGCCCCAGTTATGACTGGTATTACTTCGCAAATAGAGCTTCCTAAGCAGCTTATCTTCGTCCTATATCTAGTTGTCGGTCAATCAACTAGAGTAGATAGAGAAGTGTTTGAATTTGTACAATCCAGTGATTGGAACTCAAGTGTTTTAATCACTAAACAATCACAACTAACATTCAATCATTCAGTACTTGCTTCGAACTCCGATTCAACTAATACAGTTTGGACAATCGGTTAATATCAGTAATCCTTACAGGAAAGTGAGGTTCGAAAGAATACACAATGACACAAAGTCTTTACAGAAACAATTCAAATAATGAGTTTTTATTAGTTTGTTCGAACACATAAACATTGGTACAAAAGGGCACCAAATATAAATGCGCCGCACAATAACAATGAGGTTGTGAAGAAATGGAGGATAGAAGGTGAGTATAAAAACGAAGAGCAAAAGTGAACAGAAATTAGTGTATTTGAGTTAAACAAGTGAGAATAATAATAATGAGAGAAATAGTTCAGTTAGGAAAAATACAACCAGAAAGAACTCTTTGAGATAAAGAACATACTCTCACTTTTATGAAGTAAAAGAAAGTTACAGCAGGATTGCCACTGGCTTCTGTTCTCAACCTTTTCTGATAAAGGCTCAAGCCACTGTGTTACACCGTCTCTTGGATCCCAATCAGGGAACCATGAGGGACCAACAGAACCCAGTACTGTACAGCTTCCTTTCATACCACCGCATCATGTCGTGCATTGACTACCTCTCCACCTTTTCCAAGCAGTCCCAGTGTCAGCAAATAATGTACGACGTGGAATTCCCTGGGACGACATTCGTAAAATATTTCCAAGCCATCGAAGTCGGTGTTTCAAGATGGTGACACTAATTGAATGATCGTCACTGTGCCCGAAAACACGTTGCCGAACCTCCGCATTACTGACATGGTGTTGTCACTAGATGTCAGCAATCCTTCGGAGACAACAATGATCGAACATTGAGTCGCCTAACATCTTCAGCTAGGAAAGGCTAAATTTCACAAGCATACAGAAAAACTACTTTTACCGACGCGTTGTGGCTCCGATCTTTTACAGCCAGACTAAAATTACGAAGACGCCAAAGATGGGCCAAATTGCCATAGGCCACTTTGGCTTTTACTAAATGTAAAGTGATCTCATCGCTCACGCCACCACCAGCACTTATGCAGCTACCCAGATACACGAACTTATCGACTACTTCTATCCCCTCACTACTCAAAGTGAGTTCAGCTCCAGGGTACTGACAGTTTTGTAAAAATACTTTGCACTTAGAATGTGCAAAGCACATATCATACATACGGACACTGATTGCCAACTGATTATGTGCGGATTTCATGACCTAGGTATTATCACACTGTAAGACAATATCATCCGCATACTCAAGGTCGAGTCTTTCTCCAGGCAACAGATTCACACCACCATTACCTATATTCATCAGAGCTGTTTTCAGAACGTCATAGATGGCAAAGTTGAAGAGGAATGGTGAGATTGGGCAACCTACATAAACCTACTGCCTGAATGGAACAATAGAGAGAGGTGGTTGTGTACCATCTGCTTGGGGTTTCAGCATATAGGGCTTCCAAGATATTATCGAACTTCTCAGGTGCACCCGTTATTTGATAGACAAACCCAGAGAACAGTCCTGTTCAACCAATCAAAGGCAGCCCTAATGTCAAGAAACACTACAATTGTTGGCCTATGATAAGTATGGCGATTTTCTAACATTCGATGGAGAGTGAAGATACGATCAATACATCCTCGAACAGAACGAAACCAACCTGCTTCTTGCGAGTCAATCTTTCTCCAGTTTTGAACAATCTATGAAGTATGACGGAAGCCAATAGTTTAGACGCAATCGAAAGTAGACTTATACCCGGACAGTTGTTGCATAGATGACGTGAACCTTTTTTAAAGATAGGGACAACTATTGACGATGATGAAGGTAATCTACCTAAGTAGTAACTAATCCATTGGAAAGTCATCTTTGAATTACATTAGCAGCTATAAAAATTTTAATTCGCAAATTACACTTATATTTCGATGCTTTATGATAATCATTATGCTAATTATTTTATTGATAGTGGAAAAAAGTGTATCTCTATCTAAAATACGATGTACGTTAGTGGAACAATTCTACACGAAGTTTGATTGGATTCTTCTCGAAACCACAAAAGATTCGTCGTCAGTAATTTAACGAGAAACGTTGCATGTTTGATGTACATATGTATATATAACGCTTTTTCAAACATCAAAATAACCTGAAACATATCGTTAGCTGTTGAACACAATCAATATTTAGGAAATACAATGAAAGAGGCTTGTCAGGTCTATGTGATATACAAGCGCGATACATCTCGAACAGTTTGATCATACATTTACTTGTTAAGAGTTTTATTTACAAAAAGTAAAGGGTAAAACTAGACAAATTGAAAGAAAGAAAGAAAGAAACAAAGATTAGAAAACAATATAAATCGTACCATTCTTGATAATAAATCAGTATTACCAGATTATGTTTAGTGTGGATACAGGTTGTTTTTCGACACACACACAGCGAGTTTGAACATTCATACGGCTAAAGCTTTGACAAACCATCCATCTCTGTTTATAATACTTGTGATTTCACGGCAATATCAAGGCAATCCACACAGGTTACACTGATGGGAAAAGAGACTGATCAATTCCAGTTCTAAACATTGATGGGAATATTTAAACAACTAATCCAAATGAACTAAGTATTCACCCTATGAAAATGTCGTACAAAACCACAAAGGCTGAGTTAAAACCAAGCATATGACCCATTTCAATTATATGTACAGTTAATAGAGAAGGCGGGTATCTGTCAACTACTCTTATTGAATTTGTTGACTGTATTTGTTTTTTCACAGCAACAGAATTATTTCATTATGAATACACTATGAACCACATCTAAAACGAGGTTAATAATCAAAAGAATTTCTTGTTCAAATGTCAACAAGCAATATCTCTAGTTAAAACAAAACAAAAATAATAACTGTACAATAAAAATGTTAAACTGTCCCTTGATAAAAAAGTAAGTTTATTCTGAATGAAAAAACTTTAAAACAAAATGGATTATGAATGCATACTCGTTTGTTTTATAACTTACACTATGAAAGCCAAGTGAAATCGACTTGACTACAGTAACTGCTAACATGAGATAATGAATTCGATAAACCGAATTTCTAAACAAAAAGTAAATTAAACAACAAATAAACAGAAAGTGTAAGCGAAAAAAGAAAAAAACGAAAGGGAAAAAATCTCGTGAAATCATTTTATTGGGTTGAGCTATTTTTGGATAAATCAAGATTGACTGGGGAAATTCATGGAATTATGGGATAATTAATAATGAAAATGATGAGCTACAGTGAAAGCAACGACGAAATTAACTTTTCAGTCAATCACATTAGAAAATATATTGTAATGATGGGAAATGTGAGACAAGTTTAAAACTATGAAACTTTTCAATTTGCATTGACCAAAAATATAAATAAAAAATTTTCGAACAATCACTACTTTACCAAATTCAGATTTAAGCATTTAATTACATAGATATTAAAAAAACTGTACAATAGAATAATGAACCGAAATAGGTGATTCTACAGCCACTTTTTGTGTACATGAATTTTAAAATTAATCCGCTAGAGTTTGTATGCAAAACATTAAATTGATTTTGGTGACTAGTCTGAGAAAAACTGCATTTAATTCTTGGTGGTGTGACAAAATCTCACGTAATAATAGGTGAATTAGTTAAAGTTTGTTAATTCAAAGAATGACTGCTTAAGATCGATTTCAATAATATTTTTGTAAGCAGATTTTAGTGCAGAAAATAGAAAGAAACCAGTGCTTACTTTGATTTGCGAAGGTAAACAAACCAGAAAATACTAAGGAACAAATAAGCCAAACAAGAAATTGCATAAAGCGTAGGTAATGGTTGTTGACCAGCAGATAAATAACTGTTTACATTCTTCTCAACCATTTTTAACTACAAAAACATACAAAACAGAAACTAAGTCATGGAAATAAAACATTGTTATTAAATTTATGCGAAACAAGATCAATCTTAGACACGAGGAAAACATCTTTTTTTATGAGAATCATATCATTCACATTTGTGAACCAGTTACATAGGTGAATGCATATATTATTCCTTAAAATTAATTAAAATACTTACGGAGTATGTATTAAACAGTTCCGTTGTAATTAGTTCAAGTAAATGACACAAACTTACCTGATATTTAGTTATTGAAAAGATGAAATCTTCTGGTTTTACATTCCATAAAATGTAATCTACATGGTATCAACCGACACAGAATGATAGTGATATTAATGTTTCGAACGGATTTTCTACCTTCCAAGTGTCACTTCAAAGTCAATCTGGTTGCAGGCTTAGCTTGAAAATAATGAATGATTTTATTAAATGTATTTATTATTACATCTATTTTGTGAGTCATATTTCTTTCATCAGAAAGTATGCGCGGAAATGAAACCCTTATTTGGATTTATCACTTTATGCTATCTGCGGCACAAGAAATGTACATTTTATCGATTAACAAACAGTGAACACACATTACGCACCAGGTCTCAACTATCACCCAACGGAACACGTAATCACAATCAATGAAAATCTACAGGATTTGAATTTTCAAATACCATTTAAGCGTATAATCAAGGGACGTTACTGAGTAGAATAACATTTAAAATGATCAAGAATTATTTAAAAAACTCAGTTAAAACAGCTTTTTACATTATACACAGCAACTTAACAAAATGATCACAGTGATTAAAGCACTTGATTTCCAACTAACAGATTGCACGTTTGAGCCCCGTCACATCTATTTTAGTTTGGGCAGTCGATTAATAACACTGCCTCTCACACAAACGGTATTTCACCACCCTTAGTGTACAAATCTCTGCTTAGCGTATAGAACGCATCATTATCTTCAACGAAGTCAAAACTTACTGTTAAGTTAACTGAATGACGTTTACCAGATTCTACATTTAATTCAGCACAATTATGAAAGTATAGATGATATAAGCCTTCTTCAGATGTATTCAAGAAACGAACTGTGAACTAAATAAGGAAAAAAAAGTTACTTTTGAGAACATATATTACAAGGTGAATACATTTAAAAATATTGCGATGATTATGTGTGTTAGCGGGACATGGATTGGATTAAAGCATATTCCATGCACGATTGCGTTGGCGCACGCTGATTGGCTGATTCCCATCCAATCACCGCTAAGGAATACTTGGAGAAGACTTTAGAATCTTCTCATGTAAAAACTATAAATATACTAACATATTTCTTATTGTGCTTCTTACGTCATCTACCCCTTGTTATTCGGAATATAATTTATTTCATGTTCAACCGTGTTCTGATTTGAGGACTTGTCGAGTGAATTGGTGCTCAAGAATACTAAGCAGTAGGAATAGCTGGGTTGTAATAAGAGAACTTATAACAATGTGATATGAACTTAAGAAATTCATATTAGATATTCTCAATTTTCTTCAAGTATCTCGGCCTAATAAGCTAATATAAAAATGATAACATTTGAAATTGATTGAATAGCTCACGAGGTTACAATCTCTAACATAATAGTTCAAGTATATATGATATTCATGAGTTCCGAATACTTCCGCTGCTTATAATAGGATAATAATAATAATAATATGAAACTAAACACTAAAGAAAATAAAACAACAAGTGTTTTTTGTCATATGAAAAACCTATGCTTATCAAATAAACATATGCTTTGGGTCATATTAGTTAATATGAAGATTACTTATGAACTACTTCACAGTCGTAGCAGCGGAATTAGTAGTAAAGCGGTAAATTATCATTAACTTTATTTGAGATCATGAACCGATCAATGTTAGACCACCATTGAAAAACTGGAAGCACTGGATGGCTGTTTCGTCCTAATCTGGGACTCCTCACCAGTGCACATTCACACCGGATTGAAATCCAGGTGTTAATAACTAACTTCAATCAACCCACGATATTGCGCGACCATTTTCCATTGTCTTCGGTCGGTAACTGCCTCACACCCGACACGGTTGAACTCCACTGGTCACGGCTTCTCACCAGAACTCCGAGAATTACTTCTTAAAACCAGTCACCAGTGAGCACATGATAATTATTGGTATAGGGTTGTGGAGATTGTTGAGGCTTGAGAGACCGAAAAATCTGGGTTCGAATCCCATATGCAGAATCATGAATGTGCACTGCTGAGGAGTCCCAGACTAGGACGAAACGGTTATCCAATGTTTACAGGATCTCAAATGAAACTTAATATCTACAACCCTATACTGATAATTATGATTAACTCTTATAAGCTAAGATTTTTAAGGATTGATGATATGTCTATTTAAATATCTGACTTCGATAAATAAATAAAACCACTTAAACACGTAAGGTGTTCCCAAACACTTGTCAGTGTTAGTAGGATAAAAAATTTGTATTTTTCTAAAAAAAAAAGATCACTCACATTAGCACTTATTACATTGTCTTTCCCTTCGTACGGAATCCGCTGTAATGAACCTTATAAATAAATAGAATGAGAAACGTATTGCTTTTTACAATCTCACTAAAACAAATAATCTATTACACACTCGTTATAATTTTTGCAAAACTAACCCGATTATTAATGTTTGTGTTGGTCATCTTTTCTAAAAAAATTCTAACATTTAATGACTGAACAGCCCCAATCACTAGTTTTTTTGTTGAGAAGTAATGTATAAGTTGGATTTGGATGAATAAATTGATCATGGAATGTTAAAAAAACCTCAAACGAACACGAAGTTGAGATTATTACGACTACGTGATGACGGATCAAACAGATTGTCATACACTAACACATGTTTTGGTTTCAAATGGTTTGGAATACAGTATTTTAGATGAACATTTTACATTTCAGAATGACTGAATGAAACCTTCCTTTACGTTTTAAATAATCGAACGTTACGACAGTTCGTTGAAACTTATGAATTAACAGTTTACAAAAGAAATTATTTCTTTTCCTACATTTTTGGATTAAACAGCTCAACTAAAACACGTATAGATCAGAGGGGGGTTTTGTGGGGAATTTAGTATTTTCACAGTTGAAATCATGAGTTGATTGAAGCTAGACCACCATCGAAAACCTGGAAGCACTGGACGGCCGTGTCGTTCTATTATGGGACTCCTCAGCAGTGCGCATCCACGATCCCGCACTCGCGAGATTCGAACCCAGGACCTACCAGTCTCGAGCCGAAGCCCTTTACCGGTAGACCACTGAGCCGGCATCCAACGGTGTTGTCTAACTTCAACCAATCCACGATTTTGAGCGACCGTTCACCAATTGTCTTCAGTGAGCTGATATCTCTACACATATGCCAAGCAAAGTAAGGTTAGATGAATTATAGTCTACAGAAGTGTGGTGCAGTATGTGAAATAACCCAGTAGGTATAACTATAGATTGTAATCGAAGCAAACAATTTAGCAAACATATAAAATAATATGCCCTGGTACGGCGTATATAGCCTCGGCCGGGAAAGTCTCGCGGCGGGGGTGTTGTTTACGAAATTGAGAGGACGAAAAGCGAATGTCAGACACCTTAGCTGGATTGGTGGACACAGCTAATCCAGTTGGAGTTGGAAAACCCTGATTCCAAACCAATGGTGCACATGGGCTCCAGTATCCTGAAGGGACAAATGGCGTATGAACCAATCGTTGGTCACCGGCTACCATGGGACTGCATCTCCTTACGATGCTCCACTGCCTTGTCGATCAGACCTTCAGGTCAAAGGCTCCCGGTGTGGTCCCCTAAGAAAACCACCTGCTTCAGTTTGGGCACCTGAGCAGTATCACACAAATCAAATGAGATTTGTGTGGCGCATATATATCTGGTGCTCCTTTGTACCAATATTTATGTGTTTAAATAAAATAAAATAGAATAATATTTGATAATTATTAACATAATTAGATTGCATAAACTTAAGAGTGATCTGATGACTGAAGACAAATGTTTAAACCATTAAGTTCTTTGATTCGTTTGGAAAATATGAAATCTATTTCTAGTCTACACTTTTTCTTTCTCTCTATCTGTTAGCGGGACATAGATTGGATTAAAGCATGTTTCATGCATGGTGGTGTTGCTGCGCGCTGATTGGCTAATTCTAAACCAATCAGCCCTGGCAAATTATTGGAGAAAAATCTAGAAGCTTCTTTTGTATATACTGTAAATATATGAACGTTATTAAAACCAGTAATTGCTGCTCACCTACCATTGTTATTTTTGAATACAATTTCATTCCTGTTCAAAGTGTTCTGATTTTGGGGTCTTGTTGAGTGTCATCGTATAAGAATACTAAGCAATAGGAGTAGCCGGGTCGTTTATTAGCAAAAATACCATTATAACAGTGGCGACGGAGAAAAAGGAAAACTCATTTAAAATGCCGATATCAGACGACCAGCTTAGCCGAATATTGCAACAACAGCAAGCACAACTTGATGCACAAATGCGGTTGTTGGAGACTAATGCAACAGTTTAGCATCCAAAACTCGAGTTCACATGCTGTTTCAAGTACTTCTTGTGATGCAGCTGCTAGCAGCATTCCAGAATTCTATTATGACCCCGAATGTGGAAATACATTTCTCACGTGGTTCAAGCGTTGGGAAGACACATTTAGAATAGAGTTCTGTAAACAAGATGACTCATGGAAGACTCGACTGTTGATGCGCAAGTTGAGAAGTCATGAACATGCACGCTATGCTGATCATATATTACCAAAGTTACCTCGAGAGCTCAGTTTCGAGGAGACAGTAACGCAGATGTCAGAGATATTCGGCGAATCTTCCTCATTGTTTAGTATTCGCTACCAGTGTTTTAATTTGGTGAAACGAGAAACCGATGGATATGGTGTTCTAGCAGACATCGTCAACAGAGAATGTGAAAAGTTCAAGTTACGCTCATTGACAGATCAATTTAAATGCCTTATATTCATCAAAGCTCTCCAGTCACCACAAGATGCTGAGATTAGAACCAGACTTCTAACTCGTTTGGATCAAGATCCTAACATTACACTCAGAACGTTAACAGATGAGTGTAAGCGGCTACAGAACATCAGACACGACAATCAGTTGATTGAACAGGTAAATCCTAATTTAACCTGCAGTAGTGTCAATGCTATTACTAGGTTAAAAGTTCAGAAACCGAAAACAAGGGGTAGCAAACCAACGACTGCATGTTGGTTATGTGGTGATTGGTATTATGTACGATTCTGCCCATTCAAGAAACATAAATGTCAGATGTGTAACAAACGTGGGCATAAAGAAGGTCATCGTCCTCCAAATCGTACGTCCCAGCCTAAGCAGAAGCACAAACGTCCTCGATACATGAAGTCAGCCGAATCTAAATCACTTTCTCTGGTAGCAGCCTTTCAAACAGACTATGACATTCGGAGAAAGTGTGTTACGATCCAGATTAATGGTATAGCGGCTCGTTTTCAAATTGACACAGCATCCGATATCACCCTAGTGTCTAGAGAAACGTTTGACCTGCTTGGGAAACCGCCAATGAAGCCATCGAAGAAAACGGCTAAAAACGTATCTGGAGGTGTACTGAAACTAATTGGTGAATTACAGTGTGAATTTTCCTTCGATGGAAATAGCTGTAAAGTGGTATGTTATCTAACAGAACGACCAAATCTTGATCTACTTGGTCTAGATATGTTAGATAAGCTTGGAATAATGGATATACCCATCAACAGCGTTTGTAACGTGTCGTGTCCATCATCAGACACCACTTCATATGCAAAAAAGACAGGTGAAAAGGTCCTAGAAATTCTGAAGAGGAAATTCGCCGCTGTTTTCCGGAATAGCCTTGGTCACTGTACTAAAGTGAAAGCTAATTTACCCCTGAAACCAGATGCCAAACCCATTTTTCGTCCGAGACGTCCTGTGCCATATGCCGCTCTTGAATTAGTCGATCAGGGACTTAATCGTTTGCAGCAAGCTGGTGTAATCCAACCGGTTAATTACTCTGCATGGGCCGCGCCGATTGTAGTGATTAGAAAGCCCAATGGAACTATCCGCATATGTGCTGATTTCTCAACGGGTTTAAATGCTGCATTGGATGAACATCAATATCCGTTACCAGTTCCTGAAGACCTGTTTGCTAAACTAAATGGTGGTACATGTTTCGCGAAAATAGACTTTTCGGATGCTTATCTGCAAGTGGAGGTAGATAACGATAGTAGAGAGCTTCTGACTATCAACACTCATAGAGGGTTATTTCAATACACCCGCCTACCATTCGGCGTCAAGACCGCACCTGCCATCCTCCAGCAATTAATGGATACAATGCTAACTGGCATACCGGGTGCAGCAGCTTATCTAGATGATATCATAGTTATGGGTTCCAATAACAATGAACTTTCCGATCGTCTACACCAAGTTCTCAACCGAGTGTTGGAATATGGTTTCCAACTACGAGAAGAAAAGTGTATCTTCTTCATGCATTCGATCAAATACCTTGGTTTCATCCTAGATAAGAACGGCCGACGACCAGACCCTGCCAATATAGAAGCCATTCAGAAAATGCCCGTGCCAACTGACGTCCCTTCATTAAGGTCATTCTTGGGATTAGTTAGTCACTACAGCACATTCTTGCCTGAAATGCATCGAGTGAGAGGTCCTCTGAATGAATTACTATCGAAAGATAAACCTTGGCAGTGGTCAGCAGAATGTCAAGCATCCTTTGACGAAGTCAAGTCGATGCTCAGCTCAAAGCTTCTCTTGTCACACTTTGATCCCAGCTTGGAAATTGTTGTCGCATCTGATGCATCTAGTCACGGAGTTGGAGCAGTTATATCACGTGTTTCCAGACAAAACAGAGAAGACAATTACCCATGCTCCCAGATCACTTACCCCAGACGAACGCAACTACAGTCAAATCGAAAAGGAAGCCCTGGTAATCATTTTTGATGTCAAAAGATTTCATAAAATGCTTTACGGTCGTAAGTTCACTCTGTTGACAGACCACAAACCAATGATTGCAATATTCGGTTCCAAGAAAGGGATTCCTGTCTACACAGCTAACAGACTACAACGCTGGGCAATAATGCTTTTGAGCTACGACTTTAACATAAGGTATCAATCAACCAATACTATCGGTCAAACCGATGCCCTCTCACGATTTATTGGAGTTCAACATCCTGGACCGGAAGACATGATCATTGCCTCGATATCAGTTGATCCAGAAATACGGAGTGTAGTAGCAGCGGCAATTCGAAACTCTCCAGTGTCGTCAGATGAAGTCAGAAAAGACTCTTCGAGACCCTGTTCTACAAGAAGTTAGAAAGTTCCACCTAGAAGGGTTGCCCTCAAAGATCAGTTCAACAGAGCTTCAGCAGTTTTGTCAGCGCAGATTATCTCTTTCAACCATCGACGATTGTCTCATGTTTGCTTAACGTGTCATAATCCCAAAGAAGTTGCAACCAGTAGTCCTCGAACAGCTACATGCAGGACATCCCGGAATAAACCGCATGAAAGCTCTAGCACGATGTTATGTATACTGGCCACAATTAGATACCCAACTCGAGCAGCTATCCCGTTCGTGTACAAAATGTGCATTGGCAGCAAAAGCACCACGAAAAGCAGAGTTTCAATCATGGCCGATACCACAGTTACCGTGGCAGCGTATACATTTAGACTTCGCTGGTCCATTCCATGGACAAACTTACCTTCTGGTAGTGGACGCATACAGTAAGTGGCCGGAAATTTTTATCATGGAGCATCCAACAGCAAGCTGCACAGTTAGAAAACTGCGGCAACTATTCAGTCGTTTCGGGGTTCCAGAACAAATAGTCAGCGATAACGGCACACAGTTTACATCATCTATCTTTTCAGAATTTTGTCAACAGAACGGAATCAGGCATATCCGAACACCTCCATTCCATCCGCAATCGAATGGCCAGGTAGGACGTTTTGTTGGTACGTTCAAAAATGCTCTAAAAAATCAAGAGGGGAGGGGGACACCGAAGAGATCTTAGAGAGGTTCTTGTTTATACACCGTTCGACACCGAACCCTCAGACAACAAATGGAGTCTCCCCTGCGGAAGCGTTACTTGGCAGAAAAATACGTACACATTTTGACAGCATTCGTCCGACTCCAGCTCGTGAGCCGCAACGAAACGTGATGATGGAGAAACAGTACAATAGTCATCATGGGGCACAAAAACGACTGTTCAGTGTGGGTCAAAAGGTACTTGCTATGGACTATCGAGGAAAACATCCTACATGGATAGCTGGTCGGATCGTGCAAAAGAAAGGAAATGTGGTTTACGAGGTGCCCGTTGGTTCAGAAATCTGGGTGCGTCATGCTAACCAACTGAAATCAACCTCGATCTCCAACAACGAAACGCAGCATAGATTACCTCTTGATGTTCTGCTAGACACCTTTGAGATCAAAACACCTGAAACAGACAGGACAGTCAAGGTGCAAACGAAGGATGATACAACGTTTTGATGTTGGTTTGTTCTCTGAGCTGGATGGTTTGGTCCTTATTACCTAGAAGGTGGACTAACCGGAAGCACAAACCAGTAAAGCGGTTGCAGTTGGACCCTAGCACCAGATCCTACGAATCTGCTCAAGGGGGAGGTGTTAGTGGGATATAGATTGGGTTAAAGCATGTTTCATGCATGGTGGTGTTGCTGCGCGCTGATTGGCTAATTCTAAACCAATCAGCCCTGGCAAATTATTGGAGAAAAATCTAGAAGCTTCTTTTGTATATACTGTAAATATATGAACGTTATTAAAACCAGTAATTGCTGCTCACCTACCATTGTTATTTTTGAATACAATTTCATTCCTGTTCAAAGTGTTCTGATTTTGGGGTCTTGTTGAGTGTCATCGTATAAGAATACTAAGCAATAGGAGTAGCCGGGTCGTTTATTAGCAAAAATACCATTATAACACTATCTTGAAACAATAGTTATGAAAGCGACAGAATAGCAACTAGAGTAGCTTCAATCAAAATTCTAACTCCTGAAAATAATGCTAAAATGATTTTTGAATAAAATATTGCGATATTAATAGCTTAAGAGAGAAGGGGTAAAAACAACAGACCTCCACAATGTGATCACAAATGCTTTTTCGTTACTGTTCCAGTGCAACCCAACCGATGATATTTTACAAACTTCAGAAAGACTTATTGTACATTAATTTTCCCTAACAACCGAAATAAGATCACATTACCTTAAAAATCATAAAATAAACTCAAAATAATTCTCAACTGTACTAGTTTTGATATCCGAAACTTCTGTGGATTTAGTTTACAGCACGGACTAGCTTTATCTAGATACCCACTGAGAGCTAGTAAGTCGATGTAAACCTGATACAAGTTACCACACCATATCAGTAAAGCGAGATGACATTAAAAAGAGAAATACTAAAGTCGTAAAAGTAGAAGTCTCAATGATAATAAGAAAAATTAAACAATGGAAAAGTTAGTTCCAAAAGAAGGGATAAGTTTGAAGGATAGAAGGTATGAAATAATTCTAAAACTCGGAATGTAAGATAAGACAAAAAGTGAGTACATCTAAGCCATCGGGACCGATTCTGAGCCATGTCACCTAATGTCTTTAACCACTGTTTACGATAAACGCGGAGACCCGAACCAGGCAGCCTGTACCTATCAACATGTTTTAGACTGACGGTAAATGACTTAATGAACTGATGTCACGTTTCGTTTGGCAGAGCCTAGTTTTCTTCTAATCTATATCTAAGTCACCAAACAATGCGCGTCGAGGTAAGTAGTGGTTGTCCATATGTAATGTGAGCTTCAATCAATTTACTCAAAGATTCAAAATATTGTCAACTAATTTATTTTATTTGTCTAGTACCCTGAATCGAATCTCAACATTGCTCATTCGGTGATCCTAAATAACACAACTAATGTTGAATGGACTTATACTCAAATACTAGTAACTTATGAGTGCTTTTTATCTTTCAGAGTTAAGTTTCACAGACAGGGAACACTGAAAACACTTTGTCCTGGCAAGGTATTACCCAGAAGCTTTTATATGAAAAATAACAAACTATTTTCGCACAGACAAATACACTTACCAAAAGGAGTAATTTGAGATAAAATGATTCCGAAAACCTTTCGTAACTGTGAATCATCACTTGGTTCAATATGATTTTTAGCTTTATGGTCTGGGGATTGTTGCTCTTCATCCTTAGTATTTTGTGAGTATTCAGCAACTTCACGTAGAAGTTTGTAGACAAGATACTGTTGTCGATGTAGTTCCAATACATTCATAAATTTAACTTTTTCTATAAGTTTCGGTTCAGATAATATTATCTGAAAGAATTAAACAAGGAATAAGATATTCATTACACTTGGAAAAAAGTTTACGACTAACACTATTTACAATAGCTACCCAGTTAATCAATAATGAAATAGTGGATATGTAAATAACTTTCACCTAACAGATAGATAGATATATATATACATATATATATATATACATATATATATATATAGTATGACGTAATCTGATAAGAAACTTACGGCATTTATTGCTTTAGCCAACGAGAGACTTCGATCAGTAACCAACCGCAAACAGGTAAGAGCGTAATGAATATTGTCAATTAAACCTATGGGTTTGATAGCAGGTTGACCATCCTCTTCCATTTCTAAAGACGAGGCTTCAAAGATTACACCTTTATAATTGGGATCATGATTGTGTATCACCAGTGACCTAATTGAGCAAAAATGTCAGAAAATTACCAGCGAACCACTAACTTGGATGATTTATCAAATGAGAGGTAAATAAATTTAAATGACTTATCCCAAAAACAAGAATTTGACTTGGATTCCTATAGAAGATGAGTAAGTAGAATAATGAATTTCGACGTACAATAAGAGACGTTACTCCGGAATCCCCAGCCTTATCCAGAGTAAAAGTTATCTGTAAAGCAAAATAGATTATATGTCACATGATACAAAATCGAATTCATTTATTTTAATAAATACTTTGATGTACTTATCATAGAAAAGTTAAAAGGCCCATTGTCTCGAGAAATTCTAACAAAATAATGAGAACATCTGTGTATTAAACCATTACAAATCAACCAAAATTTCTAATCACTTGCTAACAGGCAATGGTGCTATCGTTAAATGCATAATGAACTTTAATTATATGAAAGACAAGACTGAAGTTTAAGCATATGTTGAAGCAATTGGCCCAGTAGGAATGGAATACAAATCATAATAAGTGATAATCAAGAAGGTTCCAAAGTTAGAAAGAAGAGGAAATAAGAGTTGTCAGTCATGTCAGTCAGCGACAACGTAGTACCAGGCACATATATGCATCGGTCCAAGTTGCCATACCTCGTTAGCACAACAAGATGAACACCGGATTCATAGAAGTAATTAATTTAGTGCTGGTAGTATATAAAGAAAGGTTGTATATAAGGATATAGTATAGGAAGGAAAAAAGTTACGAAACAATTTCAATCTCAAGGTTTAAGGGAAGATAAAGAGTGTATACACCTACGCCATTGTGACCGATTCTGAGCCATGTCACCCAGATTCTCCAACCATTTATTACGATAGTCAGTCAGTTACAACGTAGAACTTCGTACGTACATACATCAGTTCGAGTTGCCATACCACATTAGCACAGAGATGAAGTTGTCGATTCAAATCCCATATTGGTAGAAATAGTAAGAGTATAAGCATCAATGTGAAAGATTAGGGTTTGAAGATGTTATTGAAGGAGTATAGTACAGTGAAATAAATTTGGAAAAAGAAAAAGATAAAGACATGAGGGGTTCAGAAGATTAGAATTTGGTAGAACACAAAGAGTGGATGCACCTTCGCCATTGCAAACGATTTTGAGCCATGTCATTCAAGGTCTCTAACCATCGGTTGCTGTCATCTCGCGAATTCCAACCAGGTAGTCTACACCTACCAACATGGCCCAGTCTACTTGTCAGTGACTTCATTGATTTGTGCCACGTTTTGGTCTGGCCACCCCTAGCTTTCTTCCAACCTACTCCTACACCATGAAACATTGCACGTCGGGGCAGTCGGTGGTCGGGCATACGTAACACATGTCCCAGCCATCTCAACTGGTGAAGTTTCACTACTTCATCAATCGATTTGCCATCCTTACCTAGTACCCGTTTCCTAACATCTGCATTACTTACCCGGTGGTCCCAGGATATACGAACAATGCTTCGAAGACATCTATGATCGAACACTAGTAGCCTACGAATATCCTCTACTCTTATCGGCCATGTTTCACTGCCATAAAGTAGGACGGAACGGACTGCTGCACAGTAAACCCGTCCTTTTGTTGCTAGACGGATATCTCGCCTACGCCATAAATGACGCAAGTTGGCGAAAGCTAGACGAGCCTTCTGTATCCGTGCTGAGATTTCGTCACACACACTAGACCACAAGGGCTGATGAGACTCTCAAGATAAGTGAAGCTGTCAACACGCTCAACTGCTTCACTCCCTATCATTAGTTCAGGTGTCGATGCAACCCAATCCTGAAGTGACATTTTGCACTTCGAGGGAGAGAATCGCATCCCGAACATGCCTGCATAGTTGCTTATAGTAATCAGAAGACTCTGCATGTTGTCAGAGTTTTCACCGAATAAAACTATGTCGTCGGCGTATTCTAAGTTAACAAGTGAGCCTCCTGGTAAAAGTTCAACTCCAGGAGATTGAGATGATGAGAGTGATACCTCTAAAAGCATGTCAACGACAAAGCTAAACAAGAATGGAGAGAGTGGACAGCCCTGACGAACGCCACTTGAGGTAACCAATTTTGATGACAGTTCGCCATAGGCTCTAACTCGACCAGTTGTGTTCGAGTAGAGAGCCTTTATGAGGTTAATGTACTTCTTTGGTACTCCTTTCACTGACAAACACTTCCATAGAACCTCACGATCAACGGAGTCAAATGCCTCCTTAAGGTCAAGAAATACTACGATTGTGGGACGTCTGAATGTGTGTCTATGTTCTAGGACCTGACGTAGAGTGAATATCTGGTCTATGCAACCACGTCCAGGTCGAAAACCAGCCTGGTTTTCTCTAGTCTGCTCTTCACGAGCTTTGGTTAGGCGTCCAAGTATTATTGAAGCTAATATTTTAGACACTATATTAGTCAAACTGATTCCTCTGTGATTGTCACAGAAGGTCTTTTGTTCTTTCTCATAGACTGGCACAATCAGTGATTGGGACCAGTCAGATGGAATTACGTCCAGTTCCCAGATTCTACCTAAGACCTCAGTCAATCTCGTTGCTAGTACTGGACCACCATCCTTAAAAATCTCAGGGATAAACTTGTCAGGGCCTGCGGCTCTCCCTCGCTTTAGATTTCCTATAGCTTTTTCAACCTCGTAGAGAGTTGGAGGACTTACCTCAATCTGCCATTCAGGACGACTGGGGATCGTGAGTAACTGAAGTGTGGCTGAAGGCCAGTTGGACTGATCCCTAAAGTGTTCTGCCCATCGATCCAATTTCCTGGATTGAGAATGAATGATATGACCGTCTTTGTCTGAGATAGTTTTGCTAATAGTTGGGTTCCTAATGCCGATTTCTTTAATAAGTCTGAACAGCTGCCTACTGTTACCTATTGTCGCTGCCTTTTCGATCTCTCTTGCTTTCGCTACCCACCACTGTTCACGATCATTGCGTAGGCTTTATATTAGCCTTCGCTCTTCGTTATGTTCAGAGCCAGGAGGGATGAGTTTTCGAGCATCTATCAGTGAGGTAGATGCTGCCGAGATAGTCACGCGGACCCCAACCAAGTAGTCTGCATCTACCAACATGGCTCAGACTAGAAGTTAGTGACTTCAAGCACTGGTGCCACGTTTTGGTTTGGCCGCCCCTAACTTTCTTCCTACCATCTCCAATACTAGTCAGGCATACGTAACAAGTGGCCCGATAATTATTGAGGCTAGTATTTTAGATGCTATGTTAGTCAGACTAATCCCTCTATAGTTATCACAGGATGATTTTGGCCCCTTCTTATATATTGGGACAATCAGAGATTGTGACCAGTCAGATGGGATTACATCCGTCTCCCAGATTTTAGCCAGAATATTAGTCAACCTAATCGCTAAAATCGGACCACCATATTTAAAGACCTCTGGAGCCAATCCATCTGGACCAGCTGCTCTTCCTCGTTTCAGATTACTTATAGCCTTTTGAACTTCAAGTAGGGTCGGGGGGGCTACTTCAATGTTCCATTCAGGTTTTCTGGGAATAGTGGGTAGTTGTGCAGTAGCTGAAGGCCAGCTAAACTGCTCCTTAAAGTGTTCCGCCCATCGTTCTAAACGTTTAGGTTGAGAGCAGATAAGGGTTCCGTCTTTTTCCGAGATTGTCTCACTTACACTTGACTTCTTAATTCCGGTTTCTTTTATTAGTCTGAATAGTTGCCTGGTGTTCCCTACAGCCGCTGCCTTTCCATCTCTTTTGCTTTCATTGCCCACCACTGCTCACGATCGTTCCTTAGACTTTTAGTTAACCTAGATCTAATTTCTTTACGCTCTTCGTCATGTTCAGAGCCTGATGGGATGAGTTTACGCGAATCCATCAGTGAAATAGACTTAGAAGTAATCCATTGGTTTTTTGGAACCCTATGGTTTAAATGACTAATAGATGTTACTGCTGTTTCCACAGCTGTTCGTATGTCTTTCCAAGCAGCATCTGTGTCAGTCTTGTTTACAGAACTGCCTAGATGTGAACTCAGTTGTTTCTGGAATTCGCATTTGGCTTTCTCGTCCTCCAGTTCAATCCTAATGGGTCTTCTTAGTGTACTTTTCCTGCGTCCAGTGAGGCGCAGACAAATGCGCGCTCGTAGCAAAGCGTGATCAGAGTCTAAACAAGTATTCCAATACGAACGACAATCTTCTATTGAGCCTCTCCAACGATGACTGATGACAATATGGTCTATTTGAGTCCATCGTTGGTTTGGTGTAGGTGGTCGTCATGTTAGACGATGTCTCTCCTTATGCTTAAAATTAGTGCTTGCTAAAAATAAACGATTGTCTGAGCATAGTTGCAACAGACGATCACCATTATCGGTTCATTGAGCCGGAATAATAAAACACCCACCTAAATGTCTTTCTGTTTGATTTAAGCTGCTTACCTGGGCATTAAAGTCACCCCCTACGACTACTATGTCTGAGCGCTTAGCTTTCTGTAAAAGTCATCTTTCACTTCATCATGGCTGCAGTCAGTGGGAGCGTAGGCGGAAACGACGAAAAGGCAACGACGTGTGTCCCTATCCTTCCGAGTTCTTACGGAGCCATTTAGCCGGACAGCACACAGGCGACTGTTAACGGGGATCCATTCTAGTAGTGCCTGTTCTGCCCTTGTACTTAGTGCTATGCCTACACCTGCAAGTCCGCGAGAACTAGCTAACGGGTCGGCAGATACACGGAGGGTGTATTTCGTTGGCTGTCCATTTTGGCGAGGTGAGGTCAAGTGAATAACCACACTGGGATCCTGTATGCGTGTTTCGGAGACACAGCATACATCAATGGTACGAGATTCTAGGGTTTTAGCTAAGGAGGCCTGTTGACCGATTTGGCATAGGGTACGTACGTTGAAGGCTCCAATGTGTAGTTTGGAGCGAGGTTTAAGTAGACCTGGGACAGCGTTTTGCGCACTAGAATCGTTGGCCATGGTGACACTTGAGGAGGAAACCGGAAGAGGAAGTTTAGTGTTGAAAGTCAAGGTAGAAGGAATAGTAGAATTTGAAGAAGGAGGTTGATTATGAATACAGTGGTCTTCAGTGCTGTTAGAGGTATGAGGGCAGTTATCACTTCCCGGTTGCCCACACCGTGGAAGGGTTCTTCTAGAGGTACCTGAAAATGAAAATGGGTTAGAAGTGGTCTTAATGACCTGAGAGCGTGACCGCAGTGCCCAAGGGACATCTGCTTGTGGCCGGTCACGCACGGTCTTTTTGTGGGGGATTTTTGACGTGTTAGCTCCGTTCTTCAAAAGTCCTTACCGCCGGAGACGGAAATCCGTGGGATAAGGCGAGGTGTGCATTTTTAGGGTTGACCTTTTCTAACCCCACCCCTCCTTGTGGGAAGGCAGCATCGCTGTCATGCTGGTTGTCCGAAGGAAACACCCTACTGCTTTCACACCTCTGTACAGTCAGCAGTACGACTTCGCCTTCGGAACTTGGGTTTGCTGCTTTTAGTCTCACCGCTCTTCAACCGACCTGTCTGGCATGGTAGGACCTTGAGGAACGATTTTTCCAGCCAGTATAGCTAAATTGAATCATCACGATAGGCAAGCCCGACCACCACGTCAAGGTAGCAGCAACGGTCGGGGTGTCAGTCATGAAAAGGATTACAATCGAAGACTAAGCGAGTCGGTTACTCATCGAATCCAAATTGAACCCCAAGCATAAACAGCCGATAAGCATCAAACTAAACAGTTTGCGGTATGTTTCTAGTTCCACTATCTATGACTTCTAACATCTTGTTTTATTCAAATACCCGACATGTAAAGAGACCTACTTCAATGTAGTTACTGGTACTTTCATTCCACATCGAGTCCAGGTTCCTATATTAATCTCAGCCAGAGTGTTAATGAAAGGTGGGAAATCGGAGAGAAGATGGAATCTACATAAAATGATACTTAAGGCGCTCTAACCATGGTTTTAACCACCGTGTTAGGGATTAGATGAGCTCTTTTTTAAAGAAACTTTATTAACAATCTTTAAACCCCCAGTTTGTCGAACTCTTCCAAATTAATGTACAGCTTTACCCATCGTCCTTACTTTTTAACTTACGTTATCAACTACTACCCATGACCACGGTGTAGAATGTAGTAGCCTACGTTTAAGTTACTTCCGTTCATTGTCGTACTTAAAACAAGTTAGAATGAGCTTCGGAGAGTCTGTGAACTGAATGAATATTAAAACCGCTGACACTTTCTAAAATTTGTTTAGAATAGCCAACACACTGAAAAACACGACACGATCGTTTCCCAAGTTGACTTACCCTTACTATTGGGTGTGCAAGTCATCTATTGTAATTACACTATCCATGTATGCAGACTTTTTAAAGTTGGGGAGCCCAAGGTAAGAAATACATAGTAAATTGTCTGGGCCACAGTTATAAAGGGTGTAGCCAGACATAACAATTAACTGGTTTTACATAAAAACAGAGGATTATGTACACTTATTCTGCTTCACATCACCGTGAACGACTATACTTTGGCTCAGATTTCGCACTTTAGTAATTCAAATTTGAAACACAAAAGCTTTTAAAAGTAATGCACGACAATGGCTTTTTAACTGAACACTGACAATCGGTAAGATTCGATCGATTGTCAACAAAAAGAGCCTAGGAAAGGGATGAAATAGACGAATTTATCATGTGTTGGGTCACGACAGTGGGAAGCAATAAAGAACAAAAGGTATGAAAAACAATATTTTCTATGACAGTAAACTATACTGATCTGAAAATCAGACTTAAGATAGAGTATTTCGGGTTTGTGGCAAATTTAGAAGTATACTCGAAGACAGCTATGAGTAAAATAAGCGAACACTGCCTATATCTAAATGTTGAAATGTTTAAAGTTGATGATAAGTGTATTTGATATAACTGCACAGTGAATGTGACATTTTAACATATAAATATGGTGAGCTTGTTTTTCCAAAGATTGCAAAAGTTCATTTACAACTAAAATGAAACCACGAACTAAAATTACGAAAAATTATGTCATCATATGTGGGAAACCACATGATATAGCTAAACTTACATATTGTAAATCACCTTCCAGTTTTTGGATGAAAACAGAGAGAAATGAATCCTTTGCAAACCCGAAATGACTGCACAAAACCGACTTACGACCATCGTTCTAAATTTCATGTAAAATTTTTAATATTTGAAACCTTTAGATTAAGGATGTGTTTTCGACTAGCAAGAGGACCACACAGAAGTAAAACTAACCACAACACACAAACAGATATATTCATCACGAAGGTAGCGCAAGTGTCAGCCAATGCGCGTCGTAACACGGCTTTGGAGGGAATAGAAGCTTTCGCTTAAAGGGCCAGTAGCAGTGGGTCACTAATAATCCGAGGCAGAAAATTAGGCATTTAATTGATAAAAGAGGAAAATGAAAAAGTTGGTGAATCATTTTAAGATACTATCCTTAGTCCTTAAGAATATGTGGTTTGAAGAGTATCTATGACGAAATCGCTCGGTCTCAGATTAGAAACTTCTTGGTGCGGAAAAAACGTTTTGGGATCCTCGGTATTGATTGTGGGTATTTTGCAAGCTTGTTTTATACTTTTCGTCAAATCTAGACCAAGATAATTCAGTGTATATTGGTTAGTAGGCGAAGAATTCCTGTAAGGGAGAAAAACAATTATTCCCAATTATGTCCTATTATAGTTCGCTCCCAGTAACGGAAGAACTATCTGATCCACCACCACCTTACGTTCGAAGACGTATGGAGGTTTTAAACGGAGATGTTGTATTAACAAAAAAAACTTAAAAGAACTGAAAGATGATTTACCAATAATCAATGTTTACCTGCATACGTCATTGCTTTTTCAATAACACATTCAAAAAGGACAGTGATATTTTTCCTTGCTGATTTCATTCTTGTTTTGACTGTTTATCACGCATCAAGAGTACTGGTTTCGCTTTAATCGAATCTATTTCAATTAAAGTGATCGCCAAGAGTATCGTTTTTCCAAAAGTAATTTGTCATCTGTACTCTTCGAGTACATCGTTTCTCGTATTATTTGTGTGCACTTGTGGTTCCAAAAATTCAGTTTTTTTTCATTTTTTTCTAGTCAGAAGTTTATTTTGTCTCTGGATATTGTTTCTTTCTGAAAACACCTGATTCGTGGCTGTACGGTGCAAAAACAGAGATTGCCTACATCCAGGCTGTCGACGCTCTATGGAATATAGCATACAATGCCATGACTTCGAAGGATGGTACCACGAAGTTTGCACGAGTCTAATTCCCTCTATTTTCAGACAGTTTCAGGTTGGAAAGGACAGGAGGCTTGATGGCCTGTGTTAGTCCTGGCAATGATGGTCTCTCAGCCGATCCAGCTTTCTTTTGAAAGAGTCGACGGATGGAGCCTCAACCACGTGCTGAGGTAATGAGTTTCACTCGTCGATGATTCGATGGGAAAATCGGTAGTCAGCTGACAAGTAAATCGTTTTGGGCTTGTGAACCTTTTTGGAGTGTCCTCGTAAATTTTCTGTTTTGGGAGACAAGAAAAATGAGAGCATATTATGTGCAAATTTATCACTAAACAATTTAAAAACTATAATCAAGTCGCCTCTGATTCTGCGATATGACAGCGGGAATAGGTTTAGCGTGGTCAGTCTAGTACCATACGGGAGCTTCGCTATTCCGGGAATCAGCTTAGTTTGTGTTCTCTGAATCCTTTCCAAGATCTCACTGTCTTTTTTTAGGCAGGGACTAGCTGATTGTATGCAGTACTCAAGTTTAGGACGTACGAATACTGTATACAATGTCAGAAACGTTTTAGCGTCGATATGACTAGAAGCCCTGCGTATGGACCATAAAATTCTGAAACCTTTGGCGGCTATTACACGGCCGTGTGCAGTAGTCTTTAAGTCTTGACTGACGATGACGCCTAAGTCATTGCGTGTCTGGACAATAGGTAGATCAGTGTTATTCATCGTGTATGTGTAGTGACCGGCCAGTCTCGATAAGAACACGATTGGAATAACAGAAACAATTATTATTATTGTAACCAATTGTACCAGAGATTGTTTTACTGTATTTGTTTAACTGTATCAGACTCACTTCTTGTTCCATATACCGTCTGGTTTGGTTCGAACTTGCTCACGCACTGCCTGTTCGCCTGTACTCTTTGGCACGTCTCGGTATTATTTCGATACCACGAGATCGCCAATAAATACAATTGATCTGGACTAATAAAGCCTTCTGATTTACAAAGGAACCAAGTCGTTTTTGGGCGCGTAAACGAATTGTAGTGGTGATCATAGTCCGTCTTCGACTCGACATCCACTACAAACTGGTGAGCCGTTGTTGGAACACGCAATACAGCTGGTAACCCAATCTATCGAGCACAAGTCAAACTTGGCCAATTATCCAAGCCAGATCAATCCGGTGAGTCTATTTATCTATCCACTTCTGTTGCATATATTCGTATTGATATTTTTCAATATATAATATCTTGGCAACTTACCATGGTGGATAACGATAAGAGTAGTATAAATATAATAGACTCCGAGGTACAGGTTATCAACTTTCGACCGGTTCCTTTCATCCCTCATGATCCAGAAGTCTGGTTCGCTGCACTGGAATCTCAATTTGAGATCCGCCGCATAACCAACCAAAGGCAAAAGTACGCCTACGCTTTGGAATCATTGCCCGGGGATCACTCAACCGCTGTCCGTGAGGTTGTCTTCAATCCGAACGTTCCGAACGTTTACGACCGTCTTAAGGATGCTATCCTTCGACATTTCCTCCCATCAAGAGAGGAACGATTGAGGACTCTCTTAGCACGTCACCCTATGGGTGATGCTAAGCCGAGCCACCACCTCACGCGCCTGCAGTCCCTTGCAGGAAACTCGACAGCAGACTCTGAGATAGTCAAAGAGTTGTGGCTCGAAGCCTTTCCAGTCAGTATCCAGCCAACCCTTACGGCCCTGCTCGAGGACACCCCACTGCACAAGGTGGCCCTCATAGCAGACAAGATTCTAGCACGTGTTAGCGCCGAAGACAACTATATTGTTGCCTCTACTTCCCGTTCTAACATTGATCTCGATGCTAGACGACCTCCGGCTCATGGGGATAGGGACAGATGTATCCATACTCGTCTCAGTTTCCGAGACCGCTCAAATGTGCCAGCCCCCTACGTCCCCCGACCCAGGTCACGATCTCGAACAGCCGTAACGACTCGCCCCAAGCGGGCATCTTCCAAGCCACGCCAGAAGGCGGTTTCGGAAGCGAGTCCAGGTTGGTGCTGGTTCCACCGTGCCTTCGGGGCCGGTGCCCATCATTGTCGAGCTCCCTGCTCATACAAGGCGGGAACTTCCCGAGCCGGTGAGTAAATACGGCCGTACTCACCGGCCCTTCACCTCCGTTTGACCGTCTATTATACGTGCACGATTATCGCACTAACGCTAGGTACCTTGTGGATACGGGTGCCCAAGTTTCTGTCGTACCTATCAGTAACAGTAAGTCTCAAGCTACGATGCTTCGACTACGCGCTGCGGATGACTCAGTCATTCCTAACTATGGTACACGACAACTTACGGTCAATCTGAGCAAACAGCCTTACGAAGGCCCTTTTCACGTGATTTCCCGTCACGAAAAGACCTTCAAGGTTGATCGACATGGCCGTGTCAAAGTAGTCAGCATTGATCGTCTCATGCCAGCATACGTCGATGACAGTGCCCTACCTGATAAGCCGAGACCCAATGCTAAACCCACCAAAGCTTCTAGCGGGATCTCTACATCTACTTCGGATCCCACGCTAGATGCACCTGAGACCTCATTCTCACGTCCCAGTCAACAGCACGTGTCATCTGCCCCGTCTACGGACGAGACTTCCGTCTCACGTCCAGACCTACAGACCACACCGCCCTTGACTGCGGATGAGATTGCAGGCTCACGAGGTTCGAACGAGACTACCGTCCCACGTTCTGGTCGCCGAGTACGCTTACCCGTACGCTTTCTCGACTAACCTCATAACCAACTACGGATACAGTATAGGAATCTGTCCCTATACTACAAGAAAGCTACACTTTTCTCTTTTTCTATCATTTTTTTGTGTTTACTCCGAGCCTACGCCTTCGACCATCGCTGTTACGGTATCGTCGACTTCAGTCAACTTTGGCGAAAGCTGACCTGATCACCCACGCTCTAGTCAACGCACTCAGTCGACCTCTCTGGTTCCAAATACGTATGGTATACATTTGGTCCCGAACATGGTTATCCTGGTCGCATCTGGTTCCTTGGCTCAATCTGGTTTCGTCCTACGTCTGCAGCTTTTCTGGTCCGGACCTCTACGAACGCAACCTTCAGATTCTGGATACAAACCACTCTGGTGTAGCATGCTAATCCAAGCAATCAATACAGCACGTTCCTTCTGGTACCGTTCTACGTCAAAGACTTTTGGTGGCAACTCGAGGATCAACGATCACTCCCTGTTCTGCCAACGTTTTCGTCCTACAATTGCACGTTTCGCGATCAGTCCCACGAATGAAACCGCTACGTATCGAAAGTGTAAATCCTTTCTAGCGGGGGGCTCCTGTAGTGACCGGCCAGTCTCGATAAGAACACGATTGGAATAACAGAAACAATTATTATTATTGTAACCAATTGTACCAGAGATTGTTTTACTGTATTTGTTTAACTGTATCAGACTCACTTCTTGTTCCATATACCGTCTGGTTTGGTTCGAACTTGCTCACGCACTGCCTGTTCGCCTGTACTCTTTGGCACGTCTCGGTATTATTTCGATACCACGAGATCGCCAATAAATACAATTGATCTGGACTAATAAAGCCTTCTGATTTACAAAGGAACCAAGTCGTTTTTGGGCGCGTAAACGAATTGTAGTGGTGATCATAGTCCGTCTTCGACTCGACATCCACTACATATGCATCTGTATCCTGGTGGCCAATATGCATCACAATACACTTTGAAGTGTTTATCGGCAATTGCCAGGTTTGGGACCATTCAGATAATCTCTCCAGGTCATTTTGGAGTTCTAAGCTATCGCCCTTGCTTTGTACCGCTCTCCATATCTTGACATCGTCGGTATAGAGTAAGACCGATGACGATAGTAGACGAGGGAGGTCATTTACGTACAGGAGGAATAACACTGGCCCCAAAACTGTACTTTGGGGGACTCCACTAAGCACAGTTTCCCAGCTAGACAACTTGGAGTTCACCCTTACTCTTTGTTGACGCCCAACTAGGAAGTCTTTTATCCACATCAATAGATTGTCTCCAATCCCGACATTCCTTAGCTTATATAAC